TGGCCGCTGTGGAGCACACCATCGGGTAGAACCTCCTGTTCCTCAGTCTGGTGGCTGCCACTCCTGCAGGGAGAAGCAGCTGAGCCTGGACCAGCAGAGGACCTAGAAGGTGCTGTGCCAGTCCCAGCCGCACATCTGCCAACTTGGCTGAGGGAGTCAGTCCTGTGGCTCTGGCCCAAGTAATTCCAACCTGGCCTCTCCCTGTCCCTCCCTCTGGGGACTTGGGGCCTCAGGTCCCAGGCAACCTGGGCCCACCAAGATTATAGCTGTGGTAGCTGTACCCTGTAGACCCCTGTCTGTTCAGGGTCAGGCTGGGGACCCTCACCTATGCACTTCCTGTTCTTAAAGAAAGTCAGCGTCCCATGCCAGGCATCCAGGTGCACACCAATGATGGAGCCTTGGCCAAACCGCGATGAGAAGCTGGTCTTGTCACCCTTGTGGTGGAGGAGCCCTGGGGGCACCAGGTGAGGGTAAGCCCAGGAGCCAGGTGCTGCCCTCCCCGCCTGACCCTCCCCACCACTGGACCACACGAACCCGTGTAGGAGAGGCCCCAGCTGTCCTCGTCCCTGCCAAGCAGGCTGCAGAAGGTGTGGTGGTACTTGTCCAGGTCCACATCTGACGTCCCAATGCCCACCATCTGCCAAAGTGGGGCTGGGGAGAGTGTGCCTGGGTTGGAGGCCTACAGCGCTGCCCCAGGCTACCGGCCACTTACCATATCAGTGCCATAGACAGGTGAGGTCATCTTAATTTCCCAGAAGTGTTGGCCATCCCCCAGCTCCTTGGTGCCCCGGATGGCTGCAGTACCACAGCTATACTCCATATGGAAGCTGACCTTGCGGTTGTCACAGCTTAGCAGGGCAGCTGAGGACTTATTCAGGTCATCCCAGACCCAGTCGAAGTCTGTAAAACAGGGGGCCAGGTTTGCCCCTGCGCCTCCCAGGAGGGCCTGCCCCACCATCCCCTGCAGGACACTCACACTCATCCTCTTCTCCACAGCGGCAGTCCTTGCCACGGTGCATGGTATGTGGGCTGCTGCAAAAGGGGGCCTCGTTCTGGCTCTCACAGTCACAGAAGGACTCCCCTGTCACAGGCACAGCACTGGGGATGGATGGTGGCAGGGACGAGGACTCAGGGTCAGAATCGGAGTCACTGTGCTGGAGAGAAAGGCAGCCTGTTCCCACCTGCCTGCTGCCCCAGCCCTACCAGCCCACCAAGTGCTCAGCACAGACGTGGGGACTGGCACAGCCCGACACCCCCACTTCTGCACAGGCATTCTGAAGACCAGCCACCAGTACTACTTTCCAGCCTTCTCCAGGCATATTCTGGGTCTCAGATGAGCTGCAGATCTGGACCCAACAAGATCTGACAGAGACCACCTGGGTCTCCCAGACGACAGTCAGGCTCCTCAGCATGGGGCCTTACCCTGTACTGGGCTGTGGTCCTCTGGTCACCAATGTGTGGGGCAGACCCTCAAGAAGCCCAGTGGACTCATGCTGTCACTTAAAGCTTATGCTGTAGGAAGACTTAATCAGGACCCTGTCACCACCTTTAAGGGCCATAGTCCTGAGGCTCTGTGTCCTGAGGGCCTTATTGGCCCCGTGGTCCATCATCAGGGCCGAATTCCTCAAGTTCCTCTCCTGGGAAATCAGCCACGGAAGTCTCTGTGAACCAGGCTGCTTCCCATTGATGCCACACAAGCCCTCCTGCCCAGAGGCCAAAAAGGTGTGGACAGCCTCTGTCAGTCTGAGTGGCCTCCACCTGCTCTCTGGGCTCTGCTCTGGCCTTCCTGCCACAGACCTGCAAAGCAGCCCAGGGAACCCTCTACCATAACCTACCTTAGCCACACCATGGGGTCCTACTGCCTTGTGCATTAAGGCCAGTCTCTGCCCAAACCCACAAGCCCCACCAGCCCCCTGTCACATGTAGTCACACTGGCACCTGTGTGCYGTGTGCCCACCATTCCTCCCCCGAATGAAGCAAGCATGTCCCCAGGAACACTTTTCAGGTTGCCTGCTCACCATTTCTTTCAAATTCCCTGATCTCTTCCCTTCTCGCTCCTGCTAGACCAAGAACTCCTCAGGGAGGGCCTGCTCCCAGGTCCTATTCCAGTTACCGGGGCCTTGGACAGTGGTGCATCATCTTCACCCACATCAGATTCAACAGGGGGAGAATGGCTGACACCCTCTGTTCACAGCCTGAGTGCTGCCTGGTATGAGGCTTGCCTCCCAGGGGAAGCCACAGGGAACCATGACAGGAAGCTCAGCTGGCCAGAGATAAACAGGACCATGAGGAGCCTCCTTCAGGGCAGCTGTCCTATCTGGAGAAGGGTCCTGCCCCACACAAAGCAGGCCAGAGGACTGCAGCCCAGTGATATAGAAAGGGACTCCCCACAGCCAGGACAGGCCTACTGAGGAGCCAGGGCACGGGACACACTGATCCTCCCCAGGGAAGAAGCAAACCTGACCTGCTACCAGCCTCAAGAACACCAAGAAAAGATGAAGGAGGTGTGTCGTTAAGCTTGCTGAGGTGCCAGAAAGGCTCCTGTCACCTGCCTACGCACATGTGCCACAGGCCCATTAGGTGACAGAGGACAAGCAGCATGCATGTGTCACACTGCCCAGCCTCATAGCAGTAAGCTTGGAGGCAGGGAAACAGGCAGGCAGATGACTCTGGGCCACGTGGTCAAAGGGAACTGGAGGCATGGCAGGAATGCAAGCAGGCCTCTCAAGTTCAGAGGCCCTGAGAAAGACTCAGGACACTGCTGGCCAGGTCAGTAAACCCATGGCTTCCAGTTCTCCTCCAAGGCCTATTGGTCCCAAAGGGCTCCAAGAAGAACCCACTCCTGCCCTGGTCACATGGTTGAGCCAGGACTAATTGCAGGGCAGCTATGGCAGCAGAGTGTAGACACCATCTCCAGCCTGATTTCAGGAAGTCAACTGAGAAACCACTCCCCCAGAGTCTCCACCCTGCACCCCACAGGCCTAGCTATGGCAGAGATCAATACAGGTTGCTGTCAACAGTAGTGAAGAGTCTCTCCAATCTGCCCTGGCTCTCCTGGGCCTCCCTGAGCTTAGGGGGAAGGGTGTGAAGTTTGATCTTTCAGAATCACAGTTCCTTTTTATCTATATATATGTGAACCCAGAACACATCTGTGCTGCAAAAGAAACATTTGAATGGATCACAGGGTTAACAGCAGCTACCTCTGGAATCTGGCCAGGCAGAGGGTAGAGAACTTCTGCTGCACAGCTAACCAGAGACCAACAGCCAGTCCCTCCACACACTTCACTTGTCAAAGGAGAGGACAGGAAAGAATCTGTCTAAGGACAGGCTGGGCGTCCTTTACCTGGCCAAAAAGCCTTACTGAGCATGGCACCCCCCAAACATGGCCAGTGCTCTGGCCCAGGAACATCTTTTTCTTTGATTCCCCATCCTTGGAGTGGCCATGCCCACCTTGCCACAGGTACCTACCTGCCCATCAGAGTCATAGCCCCGGTTAGTGGTGCCTGCCAGGGACACAGCCCGGGCATCAGCATCCCGGCGGGCTGCGCTCAAGACAAAATGCCATGCCCTGCTACTCCTCGGACGTCTGGCCATGCTAGAGAGGACCTGAAAGAAAAATGGTTCTGAGCCAAGGAGCCAAGCACACTAGAACAAGTCCCAGGACCCCCAAGCACATACTCCTCCACTGGAACTTCCCCACTGTCTGTCAGGCTGGGCCACAGACCCACCCAAAGGAGGGGCTCCAGGGCCTCAGATACAAAGCAGAACTCTCCACAAGCCTGTACCTGGGTCCAGAGTCTTAGCACCTTGATCAAACCAAGGCAGACGGTGTGAAATGCCACCCAGACACCCATGATTCTGACGGCACCTCTCAGTCCACATAGGCACAGAGGCCCCAGGCCTCTCACAGCAGACTTGCTCCTCCTCCACACAGTCCAGCTAGACAAGTGGAGTCCCCGATCTCGGGTTCCTCATGCCAGAAACACAGCAGTCATCCACCCTGACACTCCCCCTTCCTGCCACACCTGGGGAGTCCTCGCTTACGGGGGACCACAGGCTCCGCACAGCTCCTCTGCTCGGCTCCTCCCGCTCCACACACTACAGCCACGGGCTTTCCGGTACCATTTTAAGTCCGCTCAGGGCTTGCCATTGTTCTGGGGGTGAAATGCAAGCCTCTACGAGGGCTAGTTCTGCCTCGCTCCAGTGGCCGGCTCTGCCCTGCTTTTGGTCGGATCCCCCATGTCCCCAGCTCCACTTTCAACCCTAGGCTGCCGCCTGGACTGCCCCACCTCGTCTGGACCCTCGGTTTGCGCCGCTCAGGAGCGCAGAACACAGCCGCGCGGTGCACGCCGAATGAATGGTCCAGGTGTCCGGCACCAGGCGGAGGGCTCTGTCACGCCCGCGGCCCGCGGCCTCCGAGCTGCAGTAGGCAGGGCCCACCCGCGGTCCCAGCCCGGCCTCCCGCGTGCCGCCCCGGGGGACAAATGGCGGCGGGCCCGACCGCCCGCAAGGTCAGCATGCTGCCGCCGGGGGCCGAGCAGGCCGGGCGCCGCTCACCTGCAGCCGCCGCAGCCGCGCTTCGCAGGCAGTGACCCACTTTCGGCTCCGGCCGGGACGTAAACAATCCCCGCCCCCGCGCTGCATTGGCCTGGCGGCTAGGCGGCCGCTCCAATCTGGGGCTTCGCGCGGGGGCGGGCCTCTCGGGACATGGCTGTTGCCAAGAGGTTGTAAGGCCTGTCAATCCTGATCCGATCTTCTAATTGGTCACAGCTTGAGCTGTCATACCTGAGACCCTCATTTCCATTGGACGTGGTCACGGAAGTAGGTCCAGATCCGTTACGTCATCTGAGCCGGAACCTAAGGGMAATGCTCCGAAACTCCTTGGACGACTTGATTGGCTGAGGGAAGCGAGACCAGGCCAATCAAAAGGAGCCGAGGGTGAGCTGTCGTCTCCCATTGGCTCAAAGGCTCCTTACTCTGGCTGTTGGCGAACGGTCCGCGGGAGGAAACGGAAGGAACCCGTGGTCTCAGTTGACGGTGCTATGGAGGCTACTGGTGAACTTGCGGGCGGGGACCCCAGTGCGGGCCTGGGTGAGCGTGCGGGGCGAGCTTATACCACCAAGGAGTGCCCCGCCTTCCTCCCTCACAGGCGGTAGTCAGGGACCCTGGCGCACCGTGGCCGCCCGTGTCTACGCGGTTTCTGGCGGCACACCACAGCAGCGCGGGAAAGCGCGGCTTGGAGTCCTCTGGGCAACGCGGGTGCACGCCCGCCGGGTTGTGGCTGCTCTTGGTCCTCAGAACCTCGGCCTTCCCTTGAGAACCGGAGGCCCGGGGCTTCCTCTCCTCACCGCGGAGAGGGGCTGTGGAGGGTGTGGAGACCGCACACAGCTGTGACCCAGGGTTTCACCTGTGTCCTGCCGCATTATCAGGGCGCTACAACTTTAGCATTTTTATCTCCCATGCACGCATACACAAGCAGGACTGCATATGCACCCATACACAAGCAGGGCTGCATATGTACGCATTATAAAGTGGAGCAGTGGAGGCTCCACTTAGCGCTGGAGTGGGGGAAGGTTAGGTCTAGAGTTGGGGGGGGCGGGGGGGGCTGTCCTTGCTCATGTTTCGATGGAGAGGAGCAGTGGCTGTCCTTGCTCATGTTTCGATGGAGAGGAGCAGTGGCCCCGGTCAGAACTCAGGAAGGGGGAGTAATTTGGTGACCTTCTCTGAAGGCTCACTGAGGGCTTATTGTTCCAGGGAGTCTCTGACCTCCTGACTTCTGTTTCTCACCAGAGCCTGGGAACCTGTCTGGCGTGCGGCACATCATCCTTGTTCTCTCTGGGAAGGGGGGCGTTGGGAAAAGCACCATCTCCACAGAACTGGCCCTGGCACTGCGACACGAGGGCAAGAAGGTGAGGCCCCTGCCCAGGGCCAATCCAGTGGCTTCACCAGCAGCCACAGCTTACTAATACCTGCCCTGAGCTGCATAGCTTCCCCTGCTGCATGAGGGTGGACACACGTCCCCGCAGCCCCCAGGCAGGACTGGTAGGTCTGTCTGCTGTTTTGTGCCTTGCCCTCACCATCAGCCTCCTTGCAGGTAGGGATCCTGGATGTGGACCTGTGTGGCCCCAGCATTCCACGCATGCTCCAGGCACAGGGCAGGGCCGTGCACCAGTGTGACAGTGGCTGGGTGCCTGTCTTTGTGGATCAGGAGCAGAGCATCTCCCTCATGTCTGTGGGCTTCCTGCTGGAGAGGCCAGACGAGGCCGTGGTGTGGAGAGGTCCCAAGAAGAGTGGTAATGACCCAGCAGGGCCATGGCTGGCAGCCTTCTGTTCTCTCCCAGCTGACCCCTGAGTGCTGAGAGTTGAAAAGCAGCAGGGCTGTCGTCCTTGCTCTTGCTTAGCCACTGTTTTTGAATGAAACCAAAATCCAGCTTTGGCCTCCATCTTGGAGACTCAGCTTCTCCCAGAGATACTCCTGCTGCACATGGCCAAGCAGGCAGGCATGCTCTAGGGGGCATGAGATGAGACCCAAGGTCAAGGGCATGGCTCTGGTGGGTGGCATCTCCATCTCCCAGTCGGGAGGTGAGGGGTCTGCTCAGACTGTACTCACACTGCAGGTGCCTGAGGCCACCCAGTGTGGAAATGGCATTGGGACGGGGCCCTGCTTCCTCTAGACTGATTGCAGGGGAGGCTTCCAGGAATTAGCTGTAAGCACAGAGCAGGGGCTGCTCCTGTTGGCCATCTCGTCAGGCTTGAGAGCCTGGGTGCAGATACCCTCACCTTGCCCTGAGCTCAGGCCTTCGTGTGGTCAGCTGCCAGCCCTGCGGGGTTGGGGTTTGGGATGAGATTGGGTGTGGAGGGTAGCACAAGAGCTTAGGAGAAAGGAGTGCTTGTGGGGGCAGGGGCAGCCTCCACCTTCCTGTTACCCTGAGAGTTCCCCACTTGTGATTGGAGCTCTGCCTCAAGCTGCAGTGGCCCCAGGGCATCCGAAGCCTGTCTGATGGAGGCTGATGAAGCCCAGGGCTGGGCAGTGAAGTCCCATCCGTCTGGGCTCGCTCTTTCCTTGGGTCCCTGGTCCTTATGGCACAGGCTTGCTTACCCCACCCCGGGTCTCTGCAGCACTGATAAAGCAGTTTGTGTCTGATGTGGCCTGGGGAGAGCTGGACTACCTAGTTGTGGACACACCCCCCGGCACCTCTGATGAGCACATGGCCGCCGTGGAAGCCCTGCGCCCTTACAGGCCCCTGGGGGCCCTCGTGGTCACCACACCGCAGGTACCACCACGGCCCTATCCTATGCCCTCCCCACTAGGGTGGGTACTTTTTCTGCTGACAACACCCTTATGAGACTGAATTAGTGGCAGACTGGCTTAGTGGTCTCTCCTGATTTCCAGGCAGTGTCTGTGGGGGATGTGAGGCGGGAGCTGACCTTCTGCAGGAAGACAGGGCTGCAGGTGATGGGGGTCGTGGAGAACATGAGCGGCTTCGCCTGCCCACACTGTGCCGTGAGTCCTGGGACATGTCAGGGCTCTTACAGGGGGATGGATGCCAGGGCACGTGCAGATCAGGTGGGGCTTTGAGGAAGTGGAGGATGCTGTCACCACTTGGGCCTACTCCGAAACCCTGCTCTAGGTCTCCCTGGCCTTCAGCATGGTGAGCGAGTGACAGTGGGCCCCATGTGGCTCTTGTCTCCTAGGAGTGCACCAACATTTTCTCCAGAGGTGGCGGGGAGGAGCTGGCTCGGCTTGCTGGAGTTCCGTTCTTAGGTGAGTATTGAAGGCAGGCACCCGGGACCCGACTCCCCCTTCCTGTGGGTGCGTCTGACTGTGCTTGAGTGCCAGGGAGGGAGAGCAACAGGCATCATGACCTCGTCTTCCAGAGTAAGGCGCTGGTGCTCTTGATTGTCTCCAGCAAAACAGGACAGCTGCCCTCCACTTGGCTCCTGCTGGGGACACTGACATCCCTACTGCTTGTCCCATGTTCGTTGGGCAATCATGAGAGGCAGGACGTCCTGCTGGGAGTGCAACAACATGGTCCACATGTGGGCACGATGCCTGACGGCACCTCTCCATCCTATAGGCTCTGTGCCCCTGGATCCTGAGCTCAGCAGGAGCCTGGAAGAGGGCCGAGACTTCATCCAGGAGTTCCCCAAGAGCCCCGCGTTTCCTGCACTTGCCTCCATAGCCCGGGAAGTTCTGAATGCCACACCTGCTCTGCTCTCCTGACAGGCAGCCCCATGACCGCCTGATGCTGCCAAGGGCTGTCCTCATAGCAGAGATCTGGGTGTGGGTGTGGTTCCTGTGACCTGTGCTCTGTGGACACCTGCCTGGCCCTGCCCTTGGAGATGTCTCTGTGGCATTCTAAGTGGGGCTTATGGCTGGGGTTCTACCTAATGGCCTGTGGTTGACACTGGCACAGGTCCTGGTGTTGTGGGACAGTGGTCCCAGCTCTGGTCACCTGCCCCCTGGAGGGATAGGCTGCTGCACACAGCCGAGATCCACCCTGTTCCTAGGCTTGCCCAGGACTTCACCTTCCTCAGGCAACTATTAATGGGGAGCCTTTGTAAGGTGGTGTATTGGCCTCAGGTGTGTACAGTGACTTTAGAAGAACCTACTATTAAATGGCCTGGTCAGCAGACGCCTTGGATGCTTCTGTCCTTAGTGGTGACAGCTTTTGCTCTCTCAAGCCTAGGGCTGGACCAGCCACAGTTCCCTTGTTCCAGGCTCCTGGAAACTTGGGTGAGACATGTCTGTGTGTTGTTTGGGGAGAGTTTGGCAAGATTTTGTGCTGTCGGAATCCTGAGGGGACATGTAGCCCTGATAGAGCGGCACACCCCAGGCCAAGGCAGAGCCGAGACCAGAGAACTTGGGGTCAGTTGGAGCTGAAGGGGCCTTTTCTCTCTGGTGAGGCCAGAAGAACCCTGTATGGGAAGCAGAGTGGCAGCACGAGCGTGTTCCTTCCAGGGAAGCTCACTGCTCCCAGAGGGGAGACTGGCAGAGCTGGGGAGCACCAGGTGTGCCTCCATCTCCTCACTGGCTTGCTGTCAGCATGCGCTGCAGGGCCCCAACCACTACCACAGCTGTGTTTGGCTGCCAGGGACCAGGACACCTGAGAATACACTCCTTGGTCACAACACAATGCCCCAGATGGAGGGACATTTTGCTGAGGTTTCCAGAGGACCTGAGTCAGTGCCTATGGTTCCTCAGGTTGGGAAGGTGTCTTGGGGCCAAGGAGCAGCTGTGAAGACATAGCAGAGTCTGGGCCAGTGCCAGAGAGTGACACAGGGCACAGAGGACTGAGGTGGTAGCTCCCGGGATGGACAGAGCTGGGACAGGACTAGATGGGAGACCACAGCCACCTCCCCTTCCCCAGGGTTAGCTCTTGAGGTCACACGCTGTGTCTGCTAGTTCACTTTAATTGTTGGCAGCTGGGACACTGCTGTGCTCCACCTTCTGCTCAGGCCCTTGGGTACATACAAGCCTGCGCCCACCCAAGCATCCTGAGCTGCCAGGACTGCTAGCCCCAGTGAATGAGCAGCCCAGGAGCTGAGGACAGTGAATGGGCAGGGGTGCCAAGCCAGGAGCCCTGGCTCAGCAGTGTGCAAAGTGGTCCTCGCCAACATCCCGCAGGTCGAGGCCCGAGACGTTGGCAGGGCTGGCACAGGTGATGTTGTTGTAAGTGTACCCGGGCTGGCAGTCGTCACCCTCACAGACAGCCTGGACAGAGCGGGGCACAACACTGGGGTTCTGCAGGGCAAAGTCCCTTAGCGCCCGGAGTGGGCAGCGACAGTCCCAGGGATTGCCCTCAAGCCACAGGCGCTCCAGGCCTGGAGGCTGTGGCAGGAAGGTCTGCAGGGAGTTGTTCCTGAGACTGAGGTAGCGCAACTGGCCCAGTGTGGAGAAGAGGCCCTCAGGCAGCACTTCCAGGCGATTGTGAGAGAGATCCAGCCAGAAGGCCCGCTGCAGGGGCCGCAGGAGGTCTGCAGGCAGGGCTGATAGCTGGTTGCCGGAGAGCAGCAGGTACTCCAGCTGGCTGAGGCCCTGGAAGAGCCCCCTGGGCAGGTGTGAGAGCTGGTTGGAGGTAAGATCCAGCTCCTGGAGCGAGTGCAGCCCTCCCAGGCTCCGCTCCTCGAGGCTGGAGATGCCGCTGTCCTTGAGGAAGAGCCTGCGCAGCCCTGATAGGCCTGCGAAGGTCTGGGGGCCCAGACGGCCCAGGCAGCTGCCCTCCAGGTGAAGGCTGTGTAGTGTGGCCAGGCCCCGGAACACCTGACCTGAGAGGGTCTGCAGGCAGTTGCCAGAGAGGTTCACAACAGCCACGTTGAAGAGGCCGAGGAAGGCACCCGCCTTGACCTCCTGGATCTGGTTGTCGTTGAGCGTGAGCACCTCCAGCTGCCCCAGGCCCTCAAACGTCTTCTCTGCCAGCTGCCGGATTCGGTTGTGCCCCAGCTGCAGCTCTTCCAGGAAGTGCAGGTCCTTGAAGCTGCGAGGCCGGAGGCTGCCAATGGCATTGTGTGCCAGGCGCAGCACGTGCAGGCCCAGCAGGCCAGGGAAGGCGTCCTCTGGGAGGCTGGCCACACGGTTGTGCGACAGGTCCAGCCAGCGCAGCGCCCTCATGCCCAGGAAGGCGCCAGGGGCCAGGGCTGTGATGAGGTTGCGGTCCAGGTGGAGCTTCTGCAGCCGGGGCAGCTGCACGAAGACGCTGGCCTTTATGCTGCGCAGTGCGTTCCTGCTCAGATCCAGCTCCCGAAGCTCTCCCAGGCCGCAGAAGAGCGCCGGCTGCAGGTAGGCCAGCTTGTTGCCAGCCAGTACCAGCTCACGGAGGCTGCCCAGGCCCTGGAACACCTTGTTGGGCAGCACAACCAGGCTGTTCCAGCCAAGGTTGAGGTCCCAGAGATGCGGGAGGCCCTGGAAGAGGCCCTCCTCCAGCCTGCCGAGCAGGTTGTTGCCGAGGCTGAGTGAGGCCAGGCTGCGTGTGTGCGCGAATGAGCCAGCTGCCAGGCTCCGCAGCTGGTTCCTCTCCAGGTGAAGGTGGTACAGGTTCTGCAGGCCCAGGAGTGCCTGTGGCTCCAGGCCACTCAGACAGTTGCCCTGCAGGTTGAGGAAGTCCAGGTTGGACAGGTTCTGGAAGGCCGCTGGGGGGATGGAAGAGAGGTTGTTGCCATCAAGCCACAGGGCCCTGGTGCCATCTGGGATACCGATGGGCAGGTGCGTGAGGTTCCTCGAGCTGCAGAAAACGTTGAGCTCCCCCGTGTCGTCCTCATAACTGCAGATGCAGATGGCCGGGCACTGTGGGCCCTCGGTGTCTGCCAGCACTCTGGGCTCTGCTCCACCCAGGCCACAGGGGCCCAGTGCTGCCCAGGAGACCAGCAGTGCCACCAGGGCTAGGCCTCCTGCGGGGAGAGGGGATCTGGCAGGGTCCCCCGGAGGTGAACAAGACCCCAAACTTGCTCAGACCTCAGCTATAGCAAGAGGAGGGTCATACTGAGACATGGTCACCCCACTTAAATACCAATCAGAGACTAGCTGGTGGCCAAGCTGGCTCAGGAGCTGACTGCACTTGCCACCCAGGAGGCCGGCAGGTGGCAGTCCCTGACTCAGCTCCCCAGCTTCTCCCAGGCCTCATGGGCACAGCCCCTCCAGCCATGTGGCATCCATGTTCCTGAGGCATGTGGTTGAGCAGAGCCAGGCTGCCACATTGGCCCAGAAGAAGGTAGAAGAAACCATCAGCCAGGATCTGACTGATTTCGGAATATTCTGGAGATGACCCAGACGGGGTGTCTACTTGTTGCCCTCTGTGGCTCGACAGTGAGCCAGATACCCCTACATGAGGCCCCGAATTAGGGGGCACTGCCCACCTGTTCCCCAATTTGTACAGCCTGCATGTGGGCCTTTACCCACATTGACAGAGAGCAGGACACAGGCCTCACAGCAGAGGGGGTCCCAGACTGTCCACTCCCCAGGCATCAGGCCCCACTGGGCCAGATAGCAGCCTCCCCAACGAGAGTGCCCCAAATCTCCTACTGGGTCCCTCCTGTCCCTGCCCTGAGAGCTCCAGGTCCCAGGTGGGGTCAGAGGCAGCACATCAGATCCCCACCTCTTGCTCCTCTGCTGTGATGAGGAAGAGGTGGCCCAAGGTGGTCCCAAGTGCCGGCTTGCTGGGGGGCTAGTCCAGGTACCCCACAGAGATGGGCAAGGAGCAAGGCAGTTTCCCACCCACCCAGAGCCAGGACCAGAGAAGAATGGGGGCTGAGAGGGCAGTGGGCTCTGGTTGGGTGGAGGGTCCCAGGCAAACCCCCCCCTTTGGGGGTATGAGGAGACCTAGTTCCGTTCCTGCACCACTGTGCTGGAGCTGAGCGCAGTCCCTTCCAGGCCCAGCTGTGCTCCCCTCCCACTCCTGAAAGTCCCCACAAGCCCTCCCAGAGCTGAGCCCTGCACTTTCCCTGTGGCTGCCCCACAGGGAAAGTGGCTGGGGGTCATCAGCTGGCTCTCCCCAGAGCAAGTGGCAGGGGACGCTGGGTGCCTCACCTTCCCTGCAGGCCATCCCGCGTGAGAGCAGGCTGCAGCAGGCAATGAGCAAGGGCAGTCTGCTGGGCTGGCTGCCCCTGCCCTGTGTTTCCCCACGGCAGGGACAGCCCGCCAGCCAGCCCTGCCCCAGCCCCTTTAACCCCCTCATGCCGGGCAGCCAGTGTTAGTCCAGATCCCCTGGGTCAGAGAGTGCAGGGAAGTGGCTGGGGCCTTGTCCACCCTGAGGCCTCCTTCAGGATCTGAGGTGGGCTGTGGTGCTGCTCTRGGGGCCATCAGGTTCATTGTGTGCCCCCCATAGGTGGGATGCGCCCAGAGGTGGGGGCAGGGACAYCCCGACAGCAGCCTTTGAAGGGCTGGTGCTCAAGACACGCCTGGGGGACCCAATGACTAGCTCCTGATACAAGCAGGGGCCCTTGGGCAGCTCCTGGGGCACCAGGGACCCCAGGGTCCCCTGACTCTGTCTGACTGTGTTGGGTTAAACCAGTGCCACCTCATTTCCCAATGCTCAGCCCAGCTGCCCAGTATGCTGCCTGCCCTGGGGTCTCCTAACAGCCTGAGTGGGCCTTTGACTGCCTTGCTCCTTGCCTGCTGCATTGCATTCACATTCCAGACTCAGGGGCTGTTCAGGGTCCAGGCCCAGCCTCAGCCCCACCTGTGACCTCAAGGTCAGCTAATGTCTGACCACTGCTCCTCCCCCAAGGCCTCTTCTAGGAACACCTGGCAGGGCCACTGGCCACCTTGTGTTTGCCTCCTCTGGCACTGACCTAGGAGAGGCGGGCAGGGAAGACAGTGGGGCAGCCTGGCCTCTGAGTCAGGTCTTGTGGCCCAGCGGTCAGCCTCCACCTGCCCCCTACTTCCTGCAAGTCTCCACCAAGGGCCTGGCCAACCCTCAGTCACCCCATTGTATGCAGACCACAGGGACAGGTACCTGGTGTCTGGCCTGCTAGAGGTCACCCCTGGGTGGTCAGGCTTTGCTCCACTCCCTGGCTTAGGGTCCCTCTTCCAGGGCCTGGTGGGTGAGGCCTGACCCACACCCCATGGCCTCCAGCAGACTCTCTTCAAGACTCTCCACCCTGCTCGGAACAGTGGGAATGAGGATGCACAGAAAGTGCCAGAAAAGGCAACACTAGGGCTGCAGAGGGGCTGCTCGGGGGGCTTGGGGCTCTCTATACACGTGCCTCCTTGTGAGGTAGGAAGAGGCCGACCAGGTCAGACAGTGGGGAGCAGGGCACTGCAGATCCTACCTGTGCTGCCCTGTCTCCAGGGATTTTCCAGTTCATTCCTCAACCTCTCTTCTGAGAAATTATAGATCCACAGGGAGAAAGTCCATGCCTGGAGCCCAGAGCGCAGTTTACACAGCCAAAGTGCGGCCTCAGCAGGCCTCTGAGGCCAGCAGCCGAGGCCTCTTCTGAGAGCCCCACCCTGGCTCCCAGGTAGATTTGGAAAGAGGAGTCAGTGTCACCGTGGTTTACTTTGGGAGAAGAGGGGCTGGGATCTTCTTGTCCACTGAAGGCCAGCTTTGTATGGTGGGGACACCCCAATCAGGATTTTGGCAGCTGGGTTAGGCCCACATCAGCCTCTCAAATTCCGCAGCCACACAGGGGTATGCATGACACACTGCTCAGCCTCTGGGCTCTGCAGAAGATGCGTACCCTGCCCCGTCGTGGCCCTGCTCCTTGGCAGCCGCTCTGGGCCACTGGAGCATGTCCCTGACTTGAGATCAGGGCTGTCTTTGGCCCTCAGGTGCGTGGTGATGCTAAGCATGGGCTCTGGCTTCCTCTGACATCAGGCTGGTGCCTCTGCCTGTGTGGGATGGTTCCCAGGCAGTTCCCAGCAGTGCTTCCATGGCCAAGGGCTGTGAGTCCCATGGGGTGCATTTGCAGGGTTCTGGGTGGTGCAGACCCAAGCACCCCCATCCTCAAAAATGCCTCCAGAGGTCTTTGTGCTTTGCTGCTGGCAAGTGGAGGGTAACACTGTGGCTTTAATGTGCTGTATCAGTCCCCAGGGGACCCAGCGCCTTTCCAGAGGCTGGCTGGCCCTGGAAGCTGCCATGTGGGCGTGTCTGCTGGGCCATCCAAGATGTCTTTGAAAGCATGCTGGCATCTTCTCTGGCACCGTGGCTTGGCTCGTGCTGGTCACCATGGTGAGAGCTCCTGGTTGTCAGGCAGCCCCAGATCTCAGGTTGAGCTCCATCCCTGCAGCCCTACAGGACACAGAGGGCTGGTTCCACAGCGTCTGTCACCAGTCTGTCAGGTCTGGGGTTTCAAGTCATTGAATACAGACTGGATTCTGTTCTCAAGTTGTCTCAGCTACGGTCCACCTGAGCCTTAACTGCGGTCTGCTGCCACTGTCCCCGCACGGCTCAGGTGGCCTCACTGCTCCTCCAGGACTCTAGTCACTCCCTCGGGGTTTGCATCCCTGCAGCAGCACCCCCCTACCATGGACCCCTCCATAGGTTCTGACTTGGGCAGGCAAGTCCTCCTTCAGGGGGTGCCTCGGGCCACAACTAGGCTGCGATCTCCCCACAGGGGATTCTGCAGTGTCTCTATTGTGACCTGTGTGTGCTCTTTAGGTTCTTTCCTATTGTCATTACTTTGGTCCTGGGGACTGAACCCAGGGGTGTTCTACCACTGAGCCACACCTCCAGCATGGCTCAGTGAAACAGAGTCTCCCTAAGTTCCTTAGACTGGCCTTGAATTTTTGAGCTTTCTGCCTCAGCTTCCAAGGTGCTGGGTCCCAGGTGTGGTTGCCGTGCCGGSCTGGTTGTTTTTGACACTCTTCAGTTATCCTTTTTCCTCAACTTCATTCTCTGTCAGGCTGAAACGCTCTTCTAGAGCGTGTTGGGGTGACTTGAACATTGCTGGGCATGCTGACCTCCCCTGCGTCTTTCCTGACATGGCTCTGTGGTGTGTGGATCCTGCACTCAGAGCTTTTCCCAGACAAGCGCACCAACAGCAGCCCCAGCAGACGCATGGACCACATGGAGTGGCCAGTCCAGCTGCGGGACATCCCTCATGCCCAGCTCCTCCCATGGGGCACATCCTCGAGGTCCACATGTGCTGGTCATGTGTCTGTGCTCTGTCCTTGTTGTGGCCAAGCTGTCCTCTCAACAGTGGCCTTCCAACCCATGAGCACAGTGCCTTCCCTTCACTTAGATTTTTATTTTGGTGATGCAGAGAGTCAGACCCAGGACCTCACTCATGCATGCACGCCAGCCGGGCAAGTGCTCTACCACTGAGCCACAGTGCACATCCCCAGAGACTGGGTCTCACTAAGTTGCTGAGGTTGGCCTGGAACTGGGAACGCTCCTGCATCAGCCCTGCCAGGCACTGGAATCCCAGGTGTGGGACTGCACCCAGCTCTTAGATATTTAGCAGCTCTCTGCTAAGTTTCAGTTTATGTAGTTTTCAGCATATGAACAGCTGTGCTCAAGTAGTTCCTAGGTATTTTACTAGTTTTCATGCTATTGTGAATGGAATTTTCTTAATTTTATTTTGGATATCTAGTATACAGAAATGAATTTGGTCAGGCACAGTGGCGTAACTATAATCCCAGCTACTCGGGAGTCTGAGGCAGGGGATCACAAGTTTAAGACCCTCAGGAACTCAGTGACACCCTATCTCAAAACAAAAATGGGGGGCTAGGGCTCAGTGGTAGAGCATCCCTGGGTTCAGCCCCTCATCCTAAAAAAAGTGAATTAATCTTTTTAAATTTGTTCTTTTTAATCTTTTTAAATTTGTGGCAATAGAGTTATGTGACGTATTTCACATACGTGGAGTGTAACTTGTCTGGTTAGGATCCCATTCTCGTAGCTGAATGTAATGTGTCCCCTGGCCCTGGACTCAGGTAGGTGTGAGCTGATCTTTGCTGATGGCATGCCCCAGGCCTCTACTTGGTGTCCTCTGGCCTTGCTGCCTGCGGGGGCCCTCTGTGATGGGGCTTTGCCCTTCCCTCCCCACAGGTGGGCCGCCCACCTGTCTCCCGCCTGTCTCCCCTGTGCTCCTGGCAGGCCAGGCCCGGCTTAGCCAGGGGCAGGGTGTGGTCCCAGCCTCATTCAGTTCTGTCACCTGCCATTGGCTGCAGTGCCAGAGTGTGCTTTTCGTAAACACAGCAGGAGGGTAGATCTTGTTCCCCACCAGTGACATCCATGTCCTGATCCCTGAGCCTGTGGCCACGTGAGGTTTCACTGCAGTCAGGAATGGAGACTGCTCTCCACTGACCTCGACAGAATATTCAGGGCTCTCTGGAGGAGTCCAGTGCAATCATTGGCCTGGGAARCAGAAGAGGCAGAAGGCGGTGTGTAAGAGGCAAGGTCAGGGCTGAGCTGCTGGTGCTGGCACTGCAGATGGCAGGAGGGGCCTTGTGCCCAGGAATGCTGCAAGCGTCCTGGAGCCTGCAGAAGGAACCTGCCCTCCTGACACCTTGATCCAGCCCAGTGAGAGGCCCACATCAGCTTCTGGGCTCCAGGACTATAGGATAAACCTGGTGATCTGTGGCAGCAGCAAGAGACAGAGGTCCTCAGGGCGGAGAACTCTCCTCTCCTGTCTAGTGAGGGGTCTCGCCACCATCAGGCCCTGTCACTGCCCAGCACCTACCAAGGCGCGCTCCAGCCAGCCAACGGCTACTTCCTGGGGCGAGTCCTGCTGGGTCATGGTGTGACGTTGCTCACCCCTGCTGGCTGAGACTTCATCAAGAGATTTTCCTATCTGTTCCTGACAGAAATCGATTTCTATTTGGTGCACAATGCCCTTCTCTGGCTTTGGTCCCAGGTGAGATATCAGCCTCATAAGGAGAAACGGGGCCGTTCCCTCCTGTGTGTCCTGGAAACTACGAGTGATGGTCTTATCCGCAGAATGTGGCGGGAAGCCACGTGGAAGGTTGAAGGCGTCCCAATTCAGTTTCTTGGTGTAGATCTATTCAGATATCATTGTCCCCCTTAAGAGGCAGGGTCTCGCTAAGTTGCCCAAACTGGCTTCAAACGCCTGAGCTCAAGTGAATCTCCTGCCTCGGCCTCCCAACTTGCTGGGGCTACAAGCACAGGCACCATGCTGTTTCATTGTCTCTCTTTAGTCAATTTGTGCTAAGAACTTGCCCATTTCATCTGATTATTTAGTGTGGAGTTTTCCTCTTATTCCCTCATAAGCCCTGTCAACGTCTGTAGAATCAAGTGATTTCTCCACTTACTCATGGTTTTTGAAATTCTGGCCTCCTTTTGCTGGCCGGTCTAGCTAAGGGTTTGCCATTGTGTGGACCTTTTCACTTGCTTGTCTTTTCTGTTTTCTATTTACTAATTTGTTCCTTCCTTGTGATTCCTTGGGTTTATTTTCTAGCTTCTTAAGTGTAGCCTACATTCCTACTTGAAAACTCCTTTCTTTTCTCCAGTTGGTGCAGGGCTGGGACCACCCTCTGCACACTAGTTGGCTGTGCCTAGTTTTCCTGTTCACCACTGGCCCARATGCTATTTAGAAACGTTTTATTTAATTTCTTGGTATTTTTCTGAACTTTCTATTGCAGACCTCTAGTCCTGCTGGGTTAGAGGACAGCACACACTTTGTGTTACTGGGGTTTGAACTTGGGGTGCTCTACCTCTGAGCCACACCCTCAGAACTTTCAATTTTGAAATGGTGTCTTGCCAAGTTGCCCAGTGTGGCCTCAAACTTGTGATCCTCCCGCCTCAGCCCCCCAAGTCACGGGGATTGCAGGTGCACACCACCATATTCGGCTGCAAATGAACTCTGACCCCGAGGTGGCGAGGAGGCAGAGAAGGGATCTCGCGTCCTGCCTCTGCTGTCAGTGGACTCCCAGGCATGTGTGGGTCTGAGCAGAGTGACCCTTCTTCTGAGCAGAGGTGACTGCTGAGGGATGGATCAATGGATCAGAGGGAGCAGCACTGGGGAGGGAGTGTGGAGGCAGGGCCAATCTCTTGCTGTCACCAGTCCCAGGCCAGGCTCTGCTGGATCCTCCAGGTTCTGACTCCTGCCCGACCTCGGGGGAAGCTTTCTTCCCAGAATCCCCACTTGGCATGGTTTGGCAGACTGATGAATGACAGCTTCCAACTATTAGAGGAATAGGTAAGCAGCACTGTAAGTACGCAAATGCCTCTGGACTGTTTCCCTTCTTCTTTGGGGTGTGCGGTACTGGAATGGCACCTGGGGCCTTAGGCGTCCAGTCCCAGAACCCTACTGGTGAGCCACACCTCAGTCCCCACACTGTGCAACTTAAACAGCTAATTGTGCTGGGCACAGTGGTACATAAACCAGCTGCTTAGGAGGCTGAGGGAGGAGGATCACAAGTTTGAGGCCAGCCTCAGCAATTTAGAGAGACCCTGACTTAAAATAAGTTCTGGGGATTAGCTCCGTGGTAGAGCACTCTTGATTCAACCACCAGGACCACCACCACCCAAAAAAAAAAAAAGCGGGGCTAGGGTTGTGGCTCAGTGGTAGCGTGCTTGTCTAGCATGCGTGGGGCACTGGGTTCGATTCTCAGCACCACATACAAATAAATAAAAGTCTGTCAACAACTAAAAAAAATATTTTTTTAAAAAGCTAATTTTGGGCTGGGGCTGTGGCTCAGAGGTAGAGCATGTGTGAGACACTGGATTCTATCGTCAGCACCACTTAAGATAAAATACTGTGTCCATCTATAACCAAAAAATAAATATTTTTTTAAAAAGTTAGTTTATGATATATGAATTTTATCTAGATGAAAAATGACTCTTACATTTGATTAGCCCACATCCCAACTGCTCATCAGAAAGACAGAGCCAGGGAGGAAAAGGGGCTGGGACGGTCCTTTCAGGGGCCAGTGGGGCAGGACCCTTGGCCAGGAGCTTCCAGTGGTGAACGCGAGGGGTGGAGGTGACAGTAGCTAGATTCCACAGAAGGCCCCCAACTGGCCCAGACGTCCTCTGTGTGAAAGCTGTGATCCTAAGCCTGTGTCCTCTGTGGCTAGAAGTGCAGGTGGCTTGGGCCTTAAGCTTGTGGCTTGTGTCCGCGGTGAGGGCAAACTGGTGGGGACTGTGCCCTCAGCCTGGGGTCCCACTCACTGGGTAGCAGGCACCAGGCCTCATGCAGTAGAGCAGCAGCAAAAAGCCAGCTGGACAAGATCACTTACAGCTTAGACTCCATGCTGCCAAAGCCCCTCCCTGGCCTGAGCCAGCGCGATGCCAGTCCTGGTCTCAGAGGTGAAGGTCCTGACGTACGCAGAGGGAGCAAGGGGCCAGCCGCCCAGGACCGACCCTGCCCTGTGCAAGGGGAGCCAGTGTCCTTCTCTGGCGACGAGGGGGACGACATGGCACGCCACAGCCGCAGTGCTAGGAGGACATGGCACTGGCACAGGACAGCCAGCCAAGCCTGCTGCCAGAGTGTGGGCACGTGAGGCTTTCACACCGCAGAGGCTGGCAGAACAGGTGGGCAGGCACCTGGGTACCCATCCCCTGTGGGCAGGAGAGCCATTTTCAAGGGAATTTTGTTGTTGTCACTAGGAATTTAACCCTGAGGCACTTTACCACTGAGTCACACACACCCAGCCCTTTTGATATTTCTTGTTGAAACAGGGTTTTGCTAAATTGCTGAGGCTGGCCTTGAACTTGAAATCCTCCTGCCTCAGCCTCCTGAGTCACTGGGATCACAGGCGTGGCCACTACATCCAGGCCTGAATGTGAAAAGAACACCAAAAACCTTCAACTTTCCCCACAGAAGGAAATGTGTGTCCTACTTAAGTAGGACACATTTACCATAGGTAAGGAAGTCACACTGGGCTGGCATGAGGAGGGGTACCACCCGACCAGACAGCAGGAAGCCAGTGACAGACCATCAACTCTAGGGACGCATCACGAAGGACACGCAGAACACGTGACACGAAACAGCACTTGCAACTCTCGCTGCCAAGGAAGCACCATGGGCACAGGCAGCAGCCTGCAAGCACCCGGAGACCGTGTCCCCGCAGGACTGTCATTCCAGCAGATGACCGACCCATGGCCCAGCAGCTCCACTTCTCACTAGCCCAGGGGACCCTCACAGGCAGGAAGCCTCACTGCAGCAGGAGGCCACTGTGTCCCCATCAGCAGGGAAACTGCCTGGCACCTCCCATGGCCACCAGGTGAGGGGAAAATGAAGCAAGTCTCAGAGGGCTGAGCACACATCCTCAGGCCTGGTGAGTCTCCCAGGGCGTGGGGCACCTGGGGGTGTGGGGCACCCGTGGGTAGGCCCCTGAATGCTGTACCCATAGGAGGAGAGCAGGAGGGGGGCCTCCCCACCCACGGCTCTGGCAGTGGAGATAATGCTGCCAAGACCTAGGGTCAGAGGAGGGCGTCAGCCACAGCGCACATGGGTGAGTGCACATGGCCGTGCCACCCACAGGGTCCTGCCCCCTCTGTGGGTGTAGGAGGAGCTGGGGTCCCATCTGCATCAGTCTCTGAGAAGGCATGACTCTGTCATCCCCATGAAATTCTAGAGACATCCTGGTGTCTGGCCTCACAGTGGTATGGCCCACGTGGCCACTGTAGGGCCACAGAGCCCTCAGTGGAGTTGGGGCCTAGGCAAGCACTGTGGCCACACCAGGAGAGCAGGCAGACAGCCAGAGCGGGCAGCACAGCCATCCACACCGCCCACAGACCTGCCGCTGACTCCCCTGACGGGCCCCTCTCCCCAGTAAGCTGGGGGCAGTGCCCCTTCTTCCACACCACATCGTCCTCCCCTCCATCTTGGGTCAGGCTGCCATCAGACATCTGGGGTTGCTGTCCCTCTCCTCCCCGGCCCCCACCCACTGCCCAGGATGTGAATCGGGCAACCAGAGCCGGGCTGGGCCAGGCTGAGTGCTCTCCAGCCAGGGGAAGAGCTGGGGCAGCAGGGACACTCACTGGAGAGCACAGGACCTAGCCTCCTCCAAGAGGAAGGATGGTGAGTGGTAAAACCACGAGCAGGGACCACACAGGTAAGGACAGTCCTGACCTGAACCTGACAGCAGTGTGGGTGCTCAGCTAAGGCTGCACCAAGGACACCTGCCTACCACCTCAGATAGCCCCTCTGCTGGGACAGGACGAGGCACTACCTCTTAGCCTCCTGGGAACTTTCCAGGACTGGCCCACACGGCAGCTTCTGTGGGGACGGGCACAGGAGCAGGGCATGCAGGTAAGTGCAGAGCCCCAAGGCCCTAGAGAAGGTGTGAAGTTGCTCTGGTAGAACAGGCAGGGACGTTCCGGCTCTGCTGCCCCCATTCATGACAAGAATCAGAACAGCAGATGGTGGAGCCAGGGCACAGGACTGGCAGTTGTCCACCTGGGCACTGCAGACCGGATGCCCCAATCCAGAAAGGGACAGGTTCTCTGCTCAAGGAGCTCAAGTCAACTCACAAAAATGATGACACAGAACCAGGTGCCAGCGCCCCTGAAGGTGGGCTTTCATTGCTGTGGGCAGACAGATCAGGAGGCCAGGAGCTGGAAGGAAGGGCCTGAGGGCAAGCCAGCCACCTCCACTCTCCCTGCAGAGTCAGGAGGACAGGGCGGGGCCTGGCTCTGGCTGGAGACAGCCACAGGTGAAGGCAAGAGAAAATGCAAAGTCTGCCAGCAGAGGGTGTGGGAATAAATACTTTAAAACTTTTTCTCTTATAAATATGCATTAGAACATTTGTAACTCCATCTAAGGGCTCTGGAGTTGACCTAGAACCAGTCCCCCCCCCCCCCCCCGCAGTGCAACCCCAGGGTCGCCCACCCTCCCCTCCCGCCGTGCTGGTGCTATGCTTCAGTCTGGCGGCACCTTGAACTGGTCCTTCTCCCTGCGGATGTAGCGCATGGTGGCCACGGGGTCAGTCTGGCCGGCATGCTGCTGCACCGTCTTCTCCCTGTGGGGGTGAGAGGCATCTGCGAGCTGCCGACTACCCCAGCACACAGCCCACTGCCCCCAGGGTACCCAGAAGAGCTGGGGTTCTGTGGCGAGGAAATTGGCAGGTGTTTCTCCACTGCAGGAGATCATGCGGCTGCACCAGGTCCTTCCAGCACCATAGGAGGCAGGAAGCCACCATCTCCACAGTGTCCTGCACTACCCAGGCCTCCAGGCYCATGACAGCATCCCTGGCCCCAGGGTCTTGGAACCCCACACCCTTGCCAAGGTGCCAAGGAAAGCTCTCACACTTGGGAAAAGGTGCGGTCCTGCTTAATGATGCCCATGGGGCAGGCCTACCACGTGGGCTCTGGGTTGGGGTCAGCTCTTGCTGGCACAGCCACATGGGGGACCACTGTGCCCACTCACCTCACTCTCATGAAGGGGTTGTAGGTGAACTCCTCGGCGATGGTGGATGGCACCGTGGGCTCCCCAGTGGCATATTTCTCCTGTAAGAGACACCACTATCACACTTCAAATACCCAGTGGTGATCTTAAAACCTGGTCCAAGAGAAAAGGCCCAGCGGCGTGGTCACTGCAGACCACAGGCCCTGACTCACATGAGCCGAGGGCGAGCTGCTGCCAGCCTGCATGTGCCCCTGCTGTCATGGGGGAGCAGGGCAGAGGGGAAGCTTTCTCTTTCACACAGCAGAGGCAACGAGCAAAAGCACAGAGAGAGGGGTGGGCTGCCTGGGTGTGGCTCAGGGTGGAGCCGTGCCCGGCATGCAAGAGGCCCTGGTTCTACCCCAGCACTGCAAAGAAGAAAAGAAAAAAGGCCTAAAGTCCCAGACCCCAGAAGTCCCAGACCCCAGGCCCCACGTAGGAGCCATGCAATGAGAGCACAGAAATGCACAGTCCCTAGGAGGAGGGGTAAGCAGCAGGAAGACAGGAGCCAGTGGGGAAATTGAGGCAGAAATGTGTTCTTCAAAACAATCAATTAAATCCATGACTGGCGCACAGAGAGAACTGCCAGAGTCAGGTGGCAGAGGGCCATTCCCGATCCGGTAGGCCCTGGTTGGGGGTAAAAGCTAAGCTATGAAACTTCCAAAAGACAATGTGAAAAAAAATTCCTAACCTTGGGGTAAGCAGAGATTTCTTAAAGACAAAAAGTATGGCTCAGCCAGGTGCAGGCAGGAGGCGGAGGATGAGGCTGAGGCTGGAGGTGCACAAGTCGGGGCTAGCCTGGGCAACCACAGACTCGGTCTCAAAAGAACATCTAGAAAGGTGATGTCGATGTGTGGGAAAGTACCTCTGGGTTCGATTCTCAGAACTGGAAAGAGAAACAAAAGCCATCCTGGTGTTGCAGGAATCATATGGGAACGCACTGGACGCAGAGAGCCAGGAGGCTCGGAAGAGGAGCAGCAGATGGACTCCACCAGGTTTCAGGCCTTTCCGTAAGACTGGCCTTGGATGCTGCTGAGGCAGGGAAAGGCCACACAGACCCGGCGGAGGCAAGGGTGCCTGTGAGGACATCAGCGTTTTCCTTTAGATGCCAAGGTGATCCAATGAGGAAAGGACTGCTTTTCAGGCAGTGAATGACCAGACACCCACGGAAGGACACCTGCCCCTCCGCCACTCCCAGCAGCAGCTTGGAGCGCGCCCTGCGCAGTCCACACAAATGCCAAATCCAAGACCAAAACTCCAGGAGAAAACCATCTTTGTGACCCAGGAATATGCAAAGATTTTGTAGGAAACAAAAAGTGGAACTTCACCAAAAGTATCAACTTCTGTTTTTCAAAGGAGTCTGGGGAAAACGGGAAGCCACCAACTGGGAAAAAATATTTGAGCCATATATTTATATTTGACAAAGACACAGAAGACACTTACGACTCAATAAAAGAGAGAACCCGGTGTTTAAAACACACAAGAGCTGAACTTGCACTCACAAGAGAGGGCCATGTGGAAAGATGGCCAGCTTCCCTGTCGTCAGGGAAATGGAAATGGCAGAAGCACAAGGTCCAGACGCACACCATCAGGACAACAAGACCCCAAAGGGCCAGCAGTGCTCACAGCTGGTCAGCACCAGCGCGATGGATCACCTAAGCTTTCAGAGCCGGGGTGTGAAATGGGGCAACCACTCTAGCAAACAGCTGGGTGGCTTCTTCAGAGGCAAAGAGACATTTAACTACATGACCAGCAATCCACTCTCATCTCCCCAAGGGCAGTTAAAACATGGACCCACGCGAGACTTGTACACCAACTCTCTTGGTAGCGCCACTCAACTGCAAAACCTGGAAACGGCCCAGGAGGCCATGAATAGGGGATAGACAAACAACTGCAGGATCCATGCAGTGACCACACAGAAGCAAGCCAACAGGACCTTCGAAGCAGAGCAAGAGGACACACACTCTCGATGACAGTCTGCTATGGGGGCAGAAAGTACACCCAGGGGGCCTTCCGGGGAGCAGCATGCCACGTCTGCAGCGCACGCTGTCAAGTTCACCTAACCAGACCGGCCACTTGAACCAGCACTCTCCTGTAAGTGGGTCATCCTCTATGTCTAGTTACTAAGAGGCAGAAGGCAGATCTGCCCACATGCGAGAGGCCTTGGGTTTGACCCCGAGCACCTGGATGTGGGCACTGGCACATGCCTGTGTGTCACCTGATCTAGACTGCGTGCGTGTGATTTTGGAGCACCTTATAAGTTCCCCCAAACTGGAAAAGATGCTGGACAAACACAAGACCTGTTAAGAACAGAGTTACAGGAGGAGGTGGCCCCTGGACTCAACAGCAGGGGCTTCGCCCAAGTCCTGCAGGGGCACGTCTCTCCGTCAGGGCGACAGCCTGATACTCAGAAGAGGCCCCTGCTCCTGTCCCCTCACCCCTGTCCACTGCGCTGGGGTACCCACGGCCACCACTGAAACACACCCTTCCACCTGAGGAATCTGCCGTGGAGGGACAGCAGTGAGGTCCCCCACAGCTGACTCTACTGCTGTGAATGGCGGCACTGGTGTTAAGCAGGCCTCCGAGGTCCATGCAGGCTGCCGAGGCCCACACAGCCCTCACGTGCTGCAGAGGCTGGACGGCACAGGCTCTCGGTGCCTAGCCCCAGGAACCCGAGGAGCACAACAGGACGACTGGCCCAGCCGTGGGTACCAGGCACTCACCTTGGCCCAGGCCAGCTTCTCCAGAACAGCAGTGTTGCTGGGCTCCACGTGGCGTGCGAACTTGAGGTTGCTGATGGTGTACTCATGGCCACAGTAGACTTTCTGAGGAGAGAGCAGCACCCGAAAGGAGATGATTGCCACCCCTGAAGGTCACACCCACTTCCCCACCTGGGCACCTCACAGGGCACATGCAGCCACTGGGTACCCACAGGACCATCCCTCAGGGCTGGACGCTTCCTACACATGTCAGAAACCACTAAAAACTCCACTAAGAAGCTGCCCCTGCCTGCTTGCTCTCCCAGCACACAGGTGGGGCCTGCACGGGGAGACTGCACAGGAATCCTGTCACCCATACAAATGGCAGTTCTCCTGGGGTGGGCCTAGAACTTGGGGTCCCACAGGACGGGGGCACAGCCTACTGTGTCTGGAGGGAGCCGGCCCAGGACCTCCAGCAGCGCTCTATACATCTCTTCTGCAGTCCCTTCATAGAACTTCCCACAGCCGGCCACAAACAGGGTGTCACCTGGAAAACAAGGCCACCTGAGGGGGCTGGCTGGGCCTTGGGAAGTGCAGGTAGCTGGTCACGAGCTGGGCTGCTGGCCACCAGCTGGTTGCGGGCTAAACCCACAGCCTTGGCTCGCTGAGCCTCGAGCTCCCCACACCGCCCCTGATCACAGCCTCTGCCACGTCCATACAGACCCAGGAGCCGCCTCCATCCAACCCAGCACAAGACAACTCAGAACTCTTGTCTTTGCCCCGAACTCTTTGCCTCACATCTCAACCGGCACCAAAACCAATGTCGCCCGGACCCCACCCTCCAGCCCCCAACGCACCATGGCTCTGGGGCCCTCCCAGCCCACACTGCAGTTGCCTTTCTCAGGCCTCCTCCTTCTGACCCTCCCCTCCCTTTGCGGCTGAGAGCACCCAGGGTCTTCTGCCCTGCAGGCCTCGGCCCAGCCACTTCTCTTCCCTGCATACCCGGGTCTTGCACCCAGGCTGGCCCACCTTGTAGGCACCGTGGTTTGGCACTGACCACTCCCACCAAGTGCACTCCCACCATTCAGAGCAGTAGAGTCGGCCGTGGGGGACCTCCCTGCTGTCCCTCCACGGCAGGCATGGCCCCCAGATTCCTCAGGTGGAAGGGTGTGTTTCAGTGGTGGCCCTGGGTACCCCAGCGCAGTGGGCAGGGGTGAGGGGCCAGGAGCAGGGGCCTCTTCTGAGTATCAGGCTGTCGCCCTGACAGAGAGACATGCCCCTGCAGGACTTGGGCAAGGCCCCTGATGTTGAGTCCAGGGGCCGCCGCCTCCTGCAACTCCTGAGGCCTTGGCCTCACTACCACAAGGTGGGTCCCAAACCCAGTTCCAAACCTTGGGCCCTCCCACAGACATTGACCAGGCAGTCCGCCACTACACCCTCCTCTCCACCACCCCTCATCACCCCTTGGCCTGAAGGGACCTTATCTCTAACTGCAGCTGCAGGGGACACCCACCACACCTGCTGTATCTGGACTGTCACCTACACCGATCCCTCCTTGGCTCAGCCAGGATGGAGGGCCCAGCATGGCTCCAGGCCCCACACGGGGGCTCATTGGACAGCCATTCCTCACCACCAGCCTCCCTGTCAAGGCCAGACAGCTCTGCCTCACCAGGACACCGTCCTGCTTGTCCCTGCTGGGGCGGGGTTGAGGCACTCAGGGTACCTGCCAACAGCTATACACAGGCCAAGGCACAAGAACAGGCCACAGCCACCCTCCACATCACCCTCTAGCTCAGGGACAGCCTCATGAAGGGGCATCCCAAGACCACCATGCCCTCCTGATGTCTGTGACAAACCCAGGAGTTATATGTGGCCTTCCCAAGGGACAAGAGCCACGCAAGCTGGGGCAGCTGCTATGCAGCCTGGCAGCCCGCAACAAGGGACACACAGTCACCCAGGAATCCCATCCCATGCTGCCTCTCAGCACAGCCATGCAGCAGGTCTCTGTCCCCTGCTTCAGGGCTGGCTCAGAGCTGACATGGCCCAGGGTCCCTGCCCTGCACCACACGCTACATGTGGGGAATCAGGAATCTAGCAGCTGCATTTACAAACAAGCGCAGAATGATCTAGAATAATCGTGGATCTTCAGGAAAGCCAAGGAGACAACAGATGCCCCTCTACCCCTCATTGGGCGCTTCCCTCAGCGTATGGCCCACATCACCCTAACACCTCCGCCGCCGAAGCGGCCGCAGCCCCACTCCTGGCCCCAGCCAGGCTCTATGAAAACCTCACTGTGGTCACAAAGCCAGGGCAGAAATCTCTGCAGGACTCAAGAATCAGCACCAGTCACTGACAGAACCAGAGACAGGGCTGACCAGCACCATGGCCACCCAGCGCTGGCCATCCAGGCTGCCCTAGCTCAGGCTCCTGAGCAGAACCATACTCTTGGCTTGGCCCACAGTGACCCCAGGAGCCTGCTGTGTGCCACCCTCAGGCAGTATTGGCTGTATGGCTGAGGCCAGGGTGCCATGTGTCCTCGACAGCAAGTGACACAAGCACAGGGCAAGATGCTCAGGTGTATCTACAGCCAATCCACATGCCCAGTGCAAGGAATGGACAGAGCCACCCCTCTGCCCTCCAGGAGCCAGGAGGACATGTCTCTATAGGCAGGAGCCCCCATTAAACCTGGCTGCTGCTCACTTGCCCAACTTGGTGGCTTCCATCACCGTCTAGTCAGAAGATCTCAGTGTCTAGCACTGGAGGTCAGTATGTAGGACATCTGGACCAGACTGCAGTCCCACCATGCTCTGGGTCCAGCCTAGCCCAGCCCACAGGGCTCATCCAAGGGATGCAAAAGGAACACTTGGCAGCCCTGTAGTCCCCCTCCTCAGGGACTCCCTGCTCCCAGGCCATGCCCACTTGTCTGTGCTGGAGGGCTGGGGTGTCCCTGCCAGACGGCCTTCTCAAAGCGAGGCCATTTCCCCAGCACCTGACAGCAGCAAGCGTGGCGGGGATCTGGTCCTGAAGGCATTCCCACTCCCAAGCACCCATTGGCAGCCCAGAATGTTTGGAGCCCAGCCTAGGCTCTACCCTGAGGGCTGTAGTCTTCTGAGCACTGAACTTTGGGCCAGAGAAGGAAAGTGGTCCCTGCAAGTCTGCCTGGTCCCTCCTCACTCCTCAGGCTCACCTGTGAACACAGCAGGGGGATCCGGACCACCAGGCTTGCTCACCAAGTAACAGATGTGTCCTGAGGTGTGGCAGGGGGTCGATAGGCATTTAACATGGAGACTCCCCACCTGAAACAGCAGGCATCAGCATGAGACCCCACGATCCCTCCTTCCAGGGGGTCAGGGGCAGGGGGCAATGCTATTTTCACAAGACCCCTCCCCAGCACCCAGCCTGCTCAGACCTTGTGTTCCAAAGACATCTGCAGAGCTGCCCACATACAGAGCAGGAGATACAGGGACTCCGTCCTGGGGCCTAGCCCTGCATGCAGGGACCACTCTGGAGTGATTACTCAAGGGCAAAGGGGCTTATTTTGTTCAGATCTTCAAAACCAGGCAATCTTCCAGGGAGAGCGCTCTCCTGCCACCCACCTCCCCAGTTCCTGACTTCAAAACAGTGGGATTCATGGCAAAGCCAACAGGGCAAGACACCCGCAGGAGTTCCCATGGGGACCTCTCACGTCCACTCTCCACATCTGTGTGGGCACTCGCAACTGAGCTACTGAAAGCTGTTTGGATCCTGGCACCCCTCCACACAGCCCATCATCATGCATCCAACAGAGCTCCATGGACCCCAAGTCCCTGTGGCCCAGGGCTGTGCTCCACAGCCTAACGCCAGGGACACACTATGTGCACACTGATTTCCTGCTAATTCCCGAGAGGGAAGACTGTCCAAGGGCAGACGGGCTGGGGCAGGCACAGGGAGGCCCAGGCCCAATCCCAACGACGCTCAGCCCTAGCACCTTTCTGAAGATCCTCCCTACCTGCAGAGTGAACAGGTGCGTGACTTTGTGAGTCAGGGCCCCGATACGGTCGTCACCCCCATACACCTTCAGCCCCGGCTCCAGCTTGACCAGCTTCTCGTTCCCGCCAGCGTGGTCCCTGGAAGTTCAACAGGAGGCTGGGCTACCTGCCAGGTGCAGAGTCTGCCTGCTGCCTTTACACCCCGACCAAATGGAAGTTCCATTTTTCCAGGTCTGTTCCTCATAAGAAGAAACACACACCTTCCAAAACAGGAAAGGCTCCCGTCTGTGGTTGGGCTGCACTGGAACAACCTCTTCAGACACCCAGTTCATGAGCAAGGCACCCTGTGCCCTGCCCATTACTGCTGCTGAAGCAGAGGAACAAATCACCTGGATGACCCCTTCCAAGGCACTGGGGCTCCACTCCCAGCCACTTTCAGGTGCTGTTGGCCTGGATAGCCGAGGCAGTTGTTCTGGAGGTTCCCCAGGTGATTCTAAGGTACACCGAGATCAGGAAAGCTTCCTGAGGAACCTCTGGCTCTATCTGTGGGCAGGCCAGCCACAGTGCTAGTATAACAGGCTGGAGGACCTCCCGGCACTCCTCAGGCTCCCACGGTTCCCCAGAGAGTCCTCTAGCCTGCACTTGGCAAGGGGGCAGCAGAGGGTTCCACTCTGCACCCTTCCCAGGCCACAATGACCCCACTGGGAGCATCCCCATGCCTGGGTCAGACCTCACTCAAGGCTGGGGCACTTGCCTTCCCAACTTCGGGGAACATGGCCTCCTGACAATCCAGTGGTCATCATGCCCACCTCGCTCCATGTCCACCTCAGAGTCCACACCCCATGAAGACTCCAGCACCCAGACAAGAATCCTCTGCCCAGCAGGCCCCAGGTAAGGGTGGAACAGCTGTCCAGCCCCACTGCCCCCCACCAGCACCCAGGCCAGGGAGCCACCAGCTCCTCAAGATGCTCTCATCACTGATCTTTTACCACTGAGACAAGAATAGTGCTCCCTGCATGAGGAACAGGCCCATCCCCGAAGCTCCGTCCAGGGTTTGGTCCTGGCCTAAACTTGAGAGGGTGTTGGAGGAAGCCATGGCATTCCGCAGCGCCAGCAAGAGTCTCCTGGAGYGTGGACTGCCTGGCACGGGCAGGGCGCAGAGTGGGAGGCCTCCAGGCAGCAGCACAGGCCCCAGCAGGGCCCTCAGAGGTGGGGGGGCCTGCAGCAGGGCAGCCGTGGCACAGGGCATTCAGCAGCACAGGCCAAGAGTGGGGTGACCGGCACCCACCCTAATGTGGGGACCTCTTCGGGACTCAGAGGACCCTGGCCAAGGACTCTGCGTCTGAGCCTTGTCCTCCACACTTGGCTTACATCAGCCTAAGCCCTGGGTGTTCAGGGGCCTCATCCAGGCTGAGATGCCTCAAGGAATGGGTTGAAGAAAAAGGCACTAGCTGCCCTCACATAGTCACTTGGAAAAGAAAATTAACAACAAAAGAAACATTTCTTCTACACTTGAAGGGCCTCAAAAGCTTCAAAAGGCCAAAAAAGAGGGCTTTGGGTGTAGGCGACTCTACCCCAAAGACCCAAACACAGGCACTTTCCCCAGCTTTCAGCTTCCAAATATTAAAACAAAACAAACAGAAAAGCAAAAACACTCTTTTTTTTTATTTAAAAAAAAAAAAAGTGGCTGGGCATTGTGGTGTATGCCTATAATCCCAAGAACTCTGGAGGCTTAGGCAGGAGGATAGCAAATTTGAGGCCAGCAACGGTACCTTAGCAAGATTCTTTCAAAATAAAAAAGCTGGGGATGTAGCTCAGTGGTAAAGTCCCCTGAATTCAATCCCCACTACCAACAAACAAACAAACAAACAAACAAACAAAAAAACACCAATATCTAGATTCTTTTCTTCCCTAACATGGAGGCCCATGTCCCATTTCAAGCCCAAGAGATACGAAAGACAGCCGCTGGGCACCCTCCTGTGGTCCAGAAGCCAGACTCCTAGACACCATGAGTGAAGCAGCCCAAAGGACACAGGCCACAAACATCTCCCCAAGGGATTGCTCCCTCAGCAGACCCACCACTCAGGGCCCAAAGTCAATGCCTCCCAGGCTCAAGGGCAAGAGGGCAGGAACCCTGGTCCTCCAGGGATCCATCCTCATGTGCACTGAGCCAGCCCCTGTCCTCCTCAAGTGAATGACACATCCCCATTGCCACCACAGGCGCCTCCAGAGCCAGAAAAACCAGCCTGGGGAGCCTAGCACTTACCAGTGGTGGTGTGTGGTGAGCACCGTGGTCAGCTTCACACCATACTTTCTCACGGTTTCTACAACCTGCAGCCACATGGGAGGCAGGACGGATGCTGGGTCACACTCCTGGCCTGGCTTGCCTCCTGCAGGGTGGGTGCCTAACCCCCAGCCCAACCCTGCTGGCTGACCAACTCTAGGACAATAGAGGAAGATGGTCTTTTTCTCTTGATCAAGTTGGAGCTCTTGGTCCTACCCACCACCTCCTCAAATCCCTCCAGCTGAGGTCAGCCTCCCGGAGACAGCACCAAGGGGCAGAGGCAGGAGGATCAGTCATGTCCAAAGGACCCATGTACTTGCCACATGGGGCCTGGGGTCTTCTCCACCCCTCCTAATGCCCCCTTAAGAGAGTGGCTGGACACTAGTTTGCTTTCAAAAATTAAATGGGCTAAATTCCACTCATCTTCAGCAGAGCTACAAAGACACAGTGGCTGTAACCCATGGGGATGAAGACAGGGTACTGGGTGACAAAACACAGGGGCCTGGGCACAGCCTCGCACCTTCTGGGGCTGCACAGGGTCCACAATGGCAGCCTCCCTGGTGTCCTTGTCAATGATCAGGTACATGTAGTTGTCGGTCAGGGCAGGCAGTAGCTCAACCTTCATGGCGCTCTGTTCCACAGTCAAACTCTTCCTTAAATCTGTGTAATACAGGAGGGCTGGGCCTGGAGACACAGGATGCAGCCTCAGGTCCTCAGCCTAAGGGCGGGCACACCAAACAGACTTCAAAGGAGCCGCACCCCTTCCCACTCCAAATGAACTCAGGGCCTTGCAAAGCAAGCACTGAACTATCTATCTCCCCTGCAGGGTTTTAATTTTATTTTGAGAAAGCATCTTGCTAAGTTACTGAGGCTGGCCTGGAACTTGCAAGTCTCCAACCTCTGCCTCCTGAGTGGCTAGGAGTACAGGCCTGTGCCACTCTTGCCCTTTTTTTCTGTGTTTGTTTCTGTTTTTGTATTAGAGATTGAACTTTGGGGTACTCTACCATTAAGCTGCATCCCCAGTTCTTTTTTATTTTTTGTTTTGAGACGGTTTCACTAAGGTGCTTAGGCTGGCCTTGAATTCGTGATCCTCCTTCCTCGCCTCCTAAGTTGCTGGATCCACTGTGTGTACTACTGCACCCTGTTGCTCTTTGCTGGCTTTTTAGAGTTCCTCCGACAGAGAATGTCTTGGTTCAATCACATCCACAAGGATGTAGAAAATGACTCGTGCACACACTGGTGGAAATTAGCTTTCTCAGACTTAGATCTTTATTTTCTCTTGAGGGTTCTAAATAAGACAGAACTGCCAACTTGTGGTGTGATGCAAACCACTGTCAAACAGGACTACGGCTGACCCTGGGGAGTTGACTCAGGAAGAATAGAGGAATGGGAGGCAGAGGAAGGGTACCAGTGCCCAGCTGTGTACCCTCCAGCACACCAGCTCACCTCCAGAGAGAGCTCAGTCCTATGCAGTCATTCACAGCCCTCAGGCCTCCAACTGGAGGAGAAAAGAGCATTTGCTCCCAAATGGCAGGAGATGTGGAGAATGCACCAGACACCACTTCCAGGGGAACAGATCTGGTCACAACCACTCAGGATTCAAGGGTGGGAGACACAGAATCATCATTGAAGTGAGCCACAGAACTCTGGCTGGCTGGGCCAGAAGGCCACGAGAAGTGACAGGAACAAAAGCATCCTCCACTCAATGGACAGATGTCAAAGTACTTTTGGCAATGAAACTCCGATTACATGTAAAAATACATGGGGCCCCAACACTTTAAGTCATAGTTTTAAAGAGTAGGAAAATATAAGGAGGGACAGTGGGATTCTGGGTAGATGTTGCTGCAGGGGCCATCTAAATATGGGGTTAACTTTATTTGCCAGGGCCTGGGAAATCTTTCTTTTTTTTTTTTTTTTTTGGTGGTGCTGGGGGCGGAACTCAGAGCCTTGTGTGTGCTAGGCGAGTGATCTACCACTGAACTCCAGTTCCCCTTCTGGACACACTATCTGGGAATTTTCCAGATTCATGCTCAGCAAAATAAACATTTTGTCTGATTATTTTTTTGTGACATTCTACCTCCCCCAAGTCCCAGCACTATTCAAGCTACCAGAGGACATCAGAGTGAAAACAGGACTGGGTGTGTGTGGGGGGATGCTCAACAAGGAGTCTTTTTACCTATTTCCTGGTAGAACACTCCAGGCAAAAACAGTGTCCCCATAAAGGAACACTGTTTATAGCCGGTGTTCAACCTGCTCTAGACACACACGTATCTTGTTGGCAAGCTGAAGAGCATGCGTTTATTCCTAAGGAAGGAGTTCACCAGGCGCCGGCACCACCAGAAACCCTACTCCTTTTCCACAAGTACCACTCTCCCAACACTGCCTAGAAACCGCTTCCAGCTCACCAGTTTGCACCTGGAACGTTTTGCACGAGCAGAGGTCACGGGCTACAGCCTATGGTCTGCGCCAAGTCCGAAGACATGTTTTGTGTGGCCCACAACATACTTTAAGGCGTTTCCCAGTACCGCCTCTCTGCACCTGTGCGCACCTGCCGCCCCAGCGCATGGGTTAGGGGCTCCGATGCAGCGCTCCGGGGACACCGCGTCCCCGAGGGAGAGACTGCGTCCTGAGAACCTCAATGGGCAGGCTCCTTCCTTAGCAAGGGTGTGTCACGCACTGTGGACCTGGGCGGCTGCCGCGGGACTGGGACTCGGCTGGCAGGCTGTTGGCCACGGCGCGGAGGCCCGCGGTCGCCAGACGCGAGAGGGGAAGATCTGTAGGCCGAGGCGGCAGGCAGGAACGGTTGTGCCCACACCCTCACCACGCCCGGCCCCGCCGAGGCCTGGTGGCCGCGTCCGCTCCTCGCCGGACTAGCAGTCTCGGCTCCTGGCCCCGGAGACGGCGTCGGCGCGCCCGACCAACGCCCAGCACAGCGGCGCCCCGGCCCACCTACCAAGGCCGCGGCGCGCGCAGGCGACTCCCAGCGCGGCGAGGCTCCGGCAGCCGAACAGCCTGCGGCCGAGCACCATGACCTGCAGGGCTGCACTGCCCCGCACGGGACCGCAACGCCGGCGTCGGCAATTGCAGCCAATCAGCTCCCGTTTCGCACCACTCGACCCGCCCCCACTCAACAAGCGCCGGCCCTGCGCCGCTTCGTCTCCAAACAGGTCCCGACTCTCCCTGCCCCGCCCCCAGCCAACCAGCATTTGCCTCGCCCCGCCCCGCCCCCACCTCAGCCAATCAGCGCGCTCGCTTTCAACTCCTTCCCTCCCCGCCCGGCTGCTGAGGGCCGGAGGCGGGCCCGTGAACGGGTGCCCGAGGTAGCTGGGAAGTTGTGTTCTGTGCTCCCAGTCTCTCTGGGGCCCGGGCCGCCATCCTGACGTAGCCACCGGGCGCGCCTCGCAAGAGCAGTGCAAGGTAGGATAGGGCGTCGCCAACGGGACAGCGTCCTGAGGCAGCGCGTTCCCTCCAGGCTGCCGTAGGCGCCGGAGCCGGTGGCCACGTGACTTAGGGCTGCGCCATGGCGGCCCCGAGGCCACTGTCCCGCTTCTGGGAGTGGGGGAAGAACATCGTCTGCGTTGGGAGGAACTACGCGGACCACGTCAAGGAGATGCGCAGCGCGTTGCCCAGCGAGCCCGTGCTCTTCCTGAAGCCGTCCACCGCTTACGCGCCCGAGGGCACGCCCGTGCTGGTGCCCACCTACTGCCGCACGCTGCACCACGAGCTGGAGCTGGGTGTGCTCATGGGCAGGCGCGGCCGCGCAGTCCCGGAGGCCGCCGCCATGGACTACGTGGCCGGCTATGCCCTGTGCCTGGACATGACCGCCAGGGATGTGCAGGACGAGTGCAAGAAGAAGGGGCTACCCTGGACTCTGGCCAAGGGCTTCACGGCCTCCTGCCCTGTCAGCGCCTTCATCCCCAAAGAGAAGATCCCTGATCCTCACGCCCTGAGACTGTGGCTCAAGGTCAATGGAGAGCTCAGGCAGGAGGGCGAGACATCCTCCATGATCTTTTCCATTCCCTACATCATCAGCTACATTTCTAAGATAATAACCTTAGAAGAAGGAGATCTTATCTTGACCGGGACGCCTGAGGGAGTTGGGCCAGTTAAAGAAAATGATGAGATCGAGGCTGGCATAGACGGGGTGGTCAGTATGAGGTTTAAGGTGGAAAGGTCAGAATATTAAGTACACAGAGCGCCTTCACTTCCTGTCGGGAGAGAAGGGAGCAAGACAAACAAGTAAAGGTTATTAAATGTGACTATCTTTTAATAGAAACTACTTCTAAAGAATGATTCGATTGAGTTGCTAAACCTCAGTCAAGAAAAATGGACCCTTTGGAAAAAACATGATCTGGATAAGCTGGGACAGAATTTGAAACAACCAAAATAAAGTGATGCTTTCCACCAGGAGAATGTATTGAACCAAACCTTCAGAGGTCTGTTTCCTGAACTGAATAAGACTTTTCAGTGAGTCTTTCCGGGATCAGTAGTTCAAGACTTAATATCTGCGAAATCATGTTCCAAGTTCCTTGGGACTTGACAGTCATCTAGAGGCATGTGTGGAAATAAAAATTCCCAAATTTACTGGCCCATTCCAGACTAGCTGAATCAACTAATGGGATTAATCTCCAGGGAAGCTTTTTACAGAGCACTCCAACTGATTCTTAACAGGGAAACATGAAAAATACTACTCCTTGTAATCAGTTAACTTAGTTTTATTTGTTACTGACCAGTTGATGAAGACTGCTCCTGTTTACTTTAGGTGTCTATACTGGTCTATAGATTCTGAGTTTGGGAGATAATTTTGAAATTACTGTTTCCAAATAAATGTGCTATATTTGGTGTAGCCTAAAAGTGTACTTGTTTCCCTAGCAGGGCTTCACACCTTGTTCTTTGACCTTTCACCTGGCGAACACTGCTCTAATGATTAACTGGCACCCCCACCTCCCACCTCATGACCAGAGGGGGAGGCTACAGAAGTTGAATGATCTGGGAGTGCTACTGCACCTTTTTGGATGAGCAAGGCAGTATGCACAGCATGGCTTTAATAAGGCCCATGGAGTCCTCTAGGGTTAAACCAGAGGACTAGTGAACACAGAAGGTATTGGCTGACCCTTGGGAAAAGTTTAAGACATCTACTTTAATAATAATTTATTGAGCACTCAGTACTGTTGGGTATTATGCCAAGGATTATTTCATGTTCACATGTGACTGTCAAGATGTGAGGATGGTATTATTGCTACTATCCCTGTTGTACAGACAAAGACAAAGATTTAGAGGCTAGGAAGCCTGGCTAGGGTCACTCCGCTGAGTGGCAAAGCCAGGATGTAACCCAGCTGTCCCAAGCTGAGAACTTGGAAGTCTTAACCACAATCAGGCTTCATCTTGTATGTTTAAGCATATAAGATTAAAACATTTAGGTATTATACAATCCTCATGTTTAAGTTATAATTTATTAGGATGTTCCATAATAATTGAGTTTAAATATCATGCTATCTTAACTACTTTTATCTTTTTTATTGTTTTTTTAATTGCTTAGCAATGGATGTTTAATAAAGAATATGGAAAACAGGTAAGCAAAAAAGATAGTACATTTTCCTACCCAGAGAAAGCCAAATTAAATGGTGTGTATTCTAAATCTGTAAATGTACTTCTTGAAACAGAATTTGCTCACAACATACAATTTTCTGATTTGCTTTTTGCACTGTAAATGGTGACTGTCCTTTTCCATATCAATGAAGACATTTCTCAGTACTGTTTTCATTGATTATGTATGATTCTAAGGTTAGGCTTATTCTAAGGTTATGGACACGGTGAAATCAGCATATTTGTTAATCCCTTTGGCTAGGTTCCCACAAATGGAAGGGTCTGGTCAAAGGGTATGCTCATGCCAGTCTGGCTGGCAGATACAAGGTTCAGTTGGAATGTGTCCACCAAGTCAACAGACATAGAAGCAAGCTGATGGCATAAGGTGGGAACAGTGCTCACATGTCACTCCTGGACCAGCACAAGCCAGTGCCCCTGRGGCAGTGTTCACCAAGTAGTGGAGCAAGCCTTGCCACAAACATCTGACATCAGCATTGAAAGCACAGCACTTAGTCTTTGGGGCAGTAGCTCAGTGGCAGAGTGCTTGCCTTGCACGTGTGAGGCCCTTAGTTCAATCCTCAGCACCACATGGAAATACATAAAATAAAGGTTAAAAAAAAAAAACTGCCTAAATCCTATAATTTCTGAGATTACTAAAGGAAACTTAACACCCAGAAGGTACATTTTTTTTCAACTTGAAATAAATTTAGACCTACAAAAAAGTTGAAAAGCTAATAACAAAACCTTTCCTTAAATTCAACAATTGTCATTTGTTAATCACACTTAAGAAAATAATTATATAATGTATTATGTAATGTATGCTTTAAAAAGCCAGGCATGGCTGGGCATGGTGGTGTACACCTGTAATCCCAGTGGCTCAGGAGGCCAAGGCAGGAGGATTGCAAGTTCAAGACCAGCCTCAGCAAATTGGCGAGGCCTAGGCAACATAGCAAGACCCCAAGACCTCTGTCTCAAAAAGCAAAAAAGGGATGAGGATGCAGTTGAGTGGTTAAGTGCCCTGGGTCCAATATCTGGTACCAAAAAAAAAAAAAAAAAGAAAAAAGAAAAATCTTTTGCACAGAAGCCTGGGATCCTTTAGGGTACCTAGCAGATAAACATGTGCCCTGTGCTCCTTTCATGTACGTAGTATGGAGCCATATGCCACCCCAGCAGAACCTTCAGGGGAATCCTAGGACCCCACCTCCCCAATTTACAAAAAGCAATGTGAAACCTACAGGTCAAAAGAGGCTACTCCTAGGAAAGAAGCTCCTGAGGGGTACAAGGGAGTTGGCAATGAGATAGGGGTGTACTTGAGTTAATGTGGAGTGTGCATTTCTTCTACTTGGTTTGGTGCCTGCATTCTGGCTAATATACAACTGAATTTCAGGTATTGACTAGTTTGTAATCTTCGTTTTGTAAATGTGTAAACTTTTCAAAGCGCCTCTGATTTGGTGTGTCTTGATACTGAACTGGAAAATTCCTGCATCATCAGATTAAGCCATCAAGGCTGTCCCTTGAGTGACAGGGACAAGGGGCTTTCGCAGCTTGGTGCCTGTGGCGTTGAGAGGGTAAGTTAGAGCCCTCTGCTGGCCATGCTAGGCTCAGCTGCTGGGAATAGTATTTCCTATGCGCCTGTACTGGGAGCCTCTCTTCCATGCAGTGGAAACCAGTGATGAGACAGCTGGAGAGGCTCAGGCCCACAGGCCTTGGCTTGAGGCCTGGTGCTTCTTGACCGCTGTGGGAGGTCATTGCGCCAGGACATGGCCCAGCAGCACTGACACCACCTGGGCAGCACCTTCCTGCCTCCTGCTCCGGTGGGTGGGTCCCTGTTGGAAGGCATCCATGCCCACTCTTGCTTTACCAGCAGCCTCACTTCTCCTCCCTGTCTGTCTCCTCCTCCACCACTCTTCATCCTGCCTTCCCTCTCCACCCTCCAAGCAAACTCACATCTCCTCCCCACAGGAGAACAAGAGGAAGTTCTTCATCAGGCCCATTTTACACAACTAGGTCAAACCCTTTACTACCTCACTTACTGTCTGGAGTTGGATCCACTACAGGTCAATTGATGTCCTTCCTCTGTGACTGCATACAGTAAAAGCCAAAGAAAACCTTAAGACAGGATCAGTTTATCTCCCAACACCAACTTGACAAGTTGTATATACTCACTTTTCCCTTTCAATTCAATCCTGTGGTGGAGGATGTGTGGCCTTCTGAAGTGCCAAACCCAGTGAGGGGTAGTGGACCCTCCCAGGCTGTGGGCAGTGCCGACTAAGATGGGGTCTTCACAGGCAGGGGCAGGAGCCTAAAGCTAGAAGTTCAGATTGGTGTGGAGCCAAGCAGTGTACTCTGGGCTCTTCAGGGAAAACAGGTCCAAGGTGGCCATGGCCTGAACGTCATGAGTAGGTCCCCCTTCAGAGCTCCTGGGTCTCAGGCACTGCTGCCAAGGCTTCTGAAGTTGGTCTCCTCCCTGCTGATTCAGGCTCATAAATGCCAAGCTTGAGGCCACGAGCCCTTACAGCTTGGGTAACCCCAGTGTGTCATCACTGAGGGTGAGGGATTAGAGAAGCTTGGTGGCAATCAAAACCCCCACTCCTGCTCTTCCCACCAACTCTGGGAGCCCCTCATTTTCCTGTCAGGACGAGCTGTGGCCCTACTCAAAGAAAGGCATTTTGAGAGTGTTCAATCTTTTTCCACAGGACCAAGACAAGGTAAGGCAGCCTAAGAGAAAAGATCACTCACTTCTGCAGAGTGAGTGTGTTTATTAACCCACATAAACGTTCTCCAGCATGGGGCCAGGCAGAGTCAGGAGAAACAGCCTCCAAGGAGTGAGTGAGTGCAGGTGAGAGTTCAGACTGGCCACAGACCAACTGCACAGGGAGCACAGGACAATCATAGAACTTCTCGCCACACTTAAACAACACGATTTTATCTGTAACCTTCAAATTAGCATTCCATTTTAAAGAACAGAAACTCCTACAGTTTTCCAGACTTTAAAATGACATTGGGTTTTACACATGTCCTTGTCCAGACAAATTCCTACTTGCCTCAGCAGGATCTGCAAGCTTACATGAGAGTATGCTGATTCTCAGTCCACCCCTGGCTCTGTGCGACAAAACAAACTGGAGGGAGGAAAAGAGAGGGTTAGTTTTAAACACTGCCTTGAATATAAAATTGAAAACCAGTCACTACAAATTGAGAACTAAAACAAAAGTTTTGTTTACTATGTTAACATAAACTTCAATTAGAGCTGGGCACAGTGGTGCAGGCCTGTAATCCCAGTGCCTGTAGAGGTTTAGGCAGGAGGCTTGACCGTTTGGGGCCAGCCTGGGCAACGTAATGACACTATGTCTCAAGAGTACAATTTTTAAAAAGAGCTGTGGATATAGTTCAATGGTAGAGTGCCCCTGGATTCAATCTCCAGAACCCAACCAAAACAAAACCCAAAAAACATTTAATTAGGGTTGTCAGATGATGGAAAGATCTAGTCCCAGGCAGAGCAGAGGAGAGAAATTACGGGTCTGGCTTCTGCAATGGCTTTGTAAAATCCACTTCCCTTTTCATGTCACTTCTCTCAGGGAGGAAAGTTGGGATTACAAATCCCACATGTAGAAAGAGAATTTACTGTGTGTTCAGAGTATCAGTGGTGACAGACTGCAGCAGAGACATCTGTTAGGCCAACTGGGAATTGAGTGATTTAACAGTAATGTCTTATTTCTATCATTTACAAGTACTTTCACCAACATTGCATTTAATAAAGAGTGGAAGGACTTAACCTCTTTAATTTCAAAGACTAAGAGAGAAAAATGTACCAACTTCAGGAAAAACTGAAACTGTAAATGGGCAGCAAAGTTAACTCCCTTCAGGGGACGCTACCTTGGTCAGGACTGGCAGGGGACCTTTAGAGCTGTCTGGCTCTATGGGGGCTACACCCACCACTGCACTGGCTGAGCCTTCTCTGATTGTGGGTCCTGGTAACTGATTGTGATAGAGGCCCCACTTGTTAGTGGGGCCTACTGAACCTTATCTGGGAGAAGATGATTGATTCTGCCTGTGGAAGAGAGTTTGCATCTGCAAACCCAAACCCAGTTCAGCATTTCTGATTGTCTGCCTATGTCTGTCTTTCTGATTCTACTTTGAACTATATTTTTAAAAATATTTTTGTTCTGGTTGTAAATGACCACAATAACTTTACTTACTTTTACGTGGTGCTGAGGATCGAAATCAGGGCCTCACACATGCTAGGCAAGCACTCTACCACTGAGCAACAACCCCAGCCCCTGAACTCTTTCTTTCTTTTCTTTTTATTTATTTATTTATTTATTTATTTATTTATTTATTTAGGTACTGGGAATTAAACCCAGGGTCCTCTACCACTGAGCTACATCTTTTAATTTTTTTGTTGTTATAGTTGTTTGTTTGTTTGCTGGCCTTGAACTTGTGATCCTCCAGTCTCAGCCTCCTGAGTCACTAGGATTTTAGGCATGTGCCACCATGCCTAGCTTGAACAATTTTTTTTGCATCTTATTGGTCCCTTCATTAATTAATGAGTTAAATCCTTGGCTGTGTTCATTTTATTTTTATATGAGAGTCATGGTTTTACTTTTTTGAAAATTATTTTTTAATACTAATACCAGACTAAATGACTTAGAAAAATACTTTTTTAAAATTTTTGGTACTGGAGATTGATCCCAGGAGCACTATACTACTGAGCTACATCCCTAGTCCCTTTTGCCAGGGCTGGTTTCAAGCTTGCAGTCTTCCTGCCTGAGTCTCTGAAGTAGCTGGGATTACAGGTGTGCGCCATTGCTTCCGACTTACCATGTGGTTTGAAACACTAAAATGAATACCTTTCTTTGAAATCACTCCAAAAGAACCATTTTGAGTAGCAAGGGTGGAATTTGTTTTTCTTTTCTTTTTGTGGTGGTACAGAATGAACCCAAGAGCATTTTATCCCTGAGCTACATCCCCATCCCTTTTTATTTTTAACTTTGCTAAATTGCCCGGGCTGATCTCAAATTTGTGATTCTTTTCCTTCTGCCTCCCAAGAAGCTGGGAGAAACATTATTTTTAGTGTACATATGGGAAGTGTATACAATGATCCATCTGTATAGGAAGATTTTGGCTTTATAGTGTTAGCAATGTGAAGTTCTTATTTTTTAAGCTGCTGTTCTGTTCTAATTATAGCGGTTGAAACTGTGTTTGATTCTCATGATCTCTATCACATTGTAGGATATAGTAGGATCATGCTATACCTCCTCAAAATCTCTGTTAAATCCAACTTAAATACCTCTTAGAGACTGGGAATGAACTCAACTGGTATAGCACTTGGCTAGCATGCAGAAGGCCTGGGGTTCAAAGCCCAGTATTTTAAACATACTCTTTGGAATACAATATCCCTTTGCTTGAGGGCAATTTGTTATTATAGTTGAGCCCAGTTTGGAAAACTGTGAGAAAGTTTCCATGAATTTAAAGTGATCAAACTCCTAAGCAAGGACTTGAGGGTATCCAGATAGGGAACAGTCAGTACTCCCTGGGCCCCTGAGAGTCTGAGGAGATGCAGTACATGGCTGCTAGTCCTCCTCAAAACCAGGCCCTATAAACACTGGCGTGACCACTGGCTACTGCACATCTGCATTTTAGAGATGCTTGAGGCCACAAGGAAAGGAAGCCTGCCTAGGGATGGTCACGCCTGTGTGAGAGGCGAGGTGGAAAAGCAGAAACAGTTTCAGCCTCTGTGGGGCAGCACCACCTTCACAGCAGCACAGTGCTTACCCTGTTGCTCCCACCCTCTCCCCAGCACACACCGTGAGGTTCTGGAGTCTGAGGTCAAATGATATGTCTGCTCATGAATGTGCTTTCAGTATTAAATCCCAGTACAGTAACTGTCAGTACATAAAACTCACGTCGACCAGAGCACCACAGCCTTAGGTGTGACTGTGGAGAACAATGTGTGGGCCAAGTCCCCTCCCTGTGACCTGGGCACATGGCAACATTTGTTGTCCTCACTGGGGTCAGGGGTGTTTGTCTCGATGCCTCTCCCCTTTCCACACCTGTGCACTAAGGTTCCACACTGAAGCATAGCTCCTGCTTCAGGGGCCAGCTCTGACTGTGCAGCACTACAGGGCCATGAGCTTCACCAGCTTGGAGAAGGCCACTCATCTCCCAGTGGCAGCACGGGAGTGATGGAATTGGGATTCAGACCAATCGCTCTCATGCCAGAAGCTAAGCCCCCGACTGTGCCATTGTGCCAATCTCTCTCATGCCATTACCCTCGCTCAGTGAAGGACAGTGCCACACGGTGGGGAGGGCTAGGGACAGCCCAGTTTTCACTCTGGAGTGTACTGCCTTGTCCTGAAGTTCACATTAAAGGATATTTGCTTTGTTGGTCTATTTCTTGGTGTTATCTCTAACTCCATTTAGACTATATGATTTTCATTATTTCTAGGGGAACCAAATCCTACTGCAATCTGCGAATTGGGCTTGCTTTATATACTTATTTGGTACTGAGGATTGAACTCGGGGCATTCAACCACTGAGTCATATCCCCAGACCTATTTGGTATTTTATTTAGATACAGGGTCTCACCAAGTTGCTTAGCGCCTCACCATTGCTGAGGCTGGCTTTGAACTTGCGATCCTCCTGCCTCAGCCTTCCTGAGCTGTTGGGAATACAGATGTGCACCACCACACCCAGCAGAATTGGAAATTATTAAAAATAATAAGTTCCTGGGCTGGGGGAATAGTTCAGTGGTGGAGCATTTGTTTAATATAAGCAAGGCCCTAGGATTTATCCTCAGCAATGAAAAAAGAGTTCCCTAATTTATTTGGTCATGTACATTTCTTCATTGTTTGAATATACAGAGTAGCAGTACTATAAAAATAAACTGACTTTTACATAAATTTTGCTTCTTTCCAAAAGAAATTGCCACTTCAATGCTGTTTTCTGTTCATCCGTCATTACAAGAAACTCATTCACCTAGTTAGAAAAGATCAAACACACACACACACACAAAAAAAAGATCAAACACATTTCTGAAGTATAAATACTTGACTCATTTTGACAACATTATGAAACAAACTTGCTCATGAGAAATAGAATATTATTCTTAGTAATCACCCAGATCAATTCTTTTTACAGAGGATATAAAGAAAAAAAAAAAAAAGCTACAAACAGAATCTCCAAAGCCATTCACAGGTTGGGAACAAAGATGTGGTACAGGCTTGTCTGGCAAGTGCATAAGGCCCTTGGTTCAAACCCCAGCATTGCCCAAAGAAAAGCAGAAGCTAACTTTTAATAGATATTTTATTGTGTTTGGTTTGGTACTGGGGATCAAATCCAGGGCTTAGCACATGCTAATGAGATGGTTTTTTTTCTTTAAATATTTATTTTTTTTAGTTTTAGATGGACACAATATATATTTTTTAAATGTGGTGCTGAGGATCGAACACCAGTGCCTTACACATGCTAGGCAAGCACTTTACCACTGAGCCACAACCCAGCTCAATAAGATGGTTTTATCAATAAAAAACATCTGCCTATCATCAAATGCAGGTGCTAGCCCAGCCTCCAGGTGTTCTGAAGCAACCATGCCAGGGAGAGAATACATGGCTGAATTTATACAGCTGGACAGAAGAAATCTGACCAGGCCCTCCTTCTGGAACAGCCACTGAATGCCTGKCCAGCATCGCCAACATGTTGTTTGACCCATTGTTACCTGACTGTATAAAACATCGTGTTTAGCACCCCCACTTTGCTGAAGGCCTCAGTCATTATTCATAATAATCAATGTTAGCTAGGATTTTAATATGCAATATGTAATAATTTGTTCATTAAAGCAATTGTGTGTTTAAGCCACGATGTTTTTCCCCAGACCTCTTTATTAGTGATTAATTTCTGTCAAATGTTCTTCAAAATAAGCTTATTTTTGAGGAAAAGAATTCCATTTGGAGGGATGGGGTTGTGGCTCAGTGATAAGACACTTGCCTAGCATGCATGAGGCACTGGGTTCAATCCACAGCACCACATTAAAAAAACTGACTAACTAAAATAAGATATTATGTCCATCTACAACTAAAATTTTTTTTAAATTTTAATATTTATTTTTTAGTTATCAGCGGACACAACATCTTTGTTTGTATGTGGTGCTGAGGATCGAACCCGGGCCGCACGCAAGACAGGCGAGCGCACTACCACTTGAGCCACATCCTCAACCCAAAAAATATTTTTAAAAAAGGAATTCAGTTTGGAAATATTTCTAGATATTTCATCATTATTGCTATTTACCGTGCAGCCCAAGGTCTCCTCAGCAACACTTCCTGTGAGACTACAGGAATGGAGGGTACCTGTGTGGTCAGTAAGATCAACCARCATGTGGAAGCTGGGAAAAACAGATCTAAATCCTGAAGAACCTTTGTTGCAAGTTGTACAAGCATTGGATGCTTCATTAAGAACATAACCACAGCTGGAACTGAAAAGAAACAAAATGATGATACAATTTGATGATCCTAAGTGACAAATTTGAACTCTAGAACTGTCCTTCAACATGTGAGTCAGCATGTGGAACGAGCACTCAGTGCCAGGCAGGACCTGAGACAGGGGTGAGGAGCTTCCCAGGCACAATTCCAAACTGAATTCTTTTCCACCTGTGACCACAGAGGCTGAGTCCACGTCCTCCCACTGTCTGCCCTCCTCCCTTCCCTCTACTGGGGTCCCACCCAACCAGAGGTCCTACCATCTCATTGCCCCGGGGGGGGGGGGACCTTCCTCTTCTGCACTCAGCCCACACTTGTCCCTTCTCAGGACAGCTGCAGTCTTGGGCTTAGGCTTCCACACTGACATGTGCAGTCATGTCCCTTCCTTGCTGTTGCAGGTGAGCTGAGGGCAGGAATCCAGAAGGCGATGTCTTCTGGAGTCAGACACATACCCACACAGTGATGGAAATGTGCAGAACAGGCACACACACACAAATGACCTCGTGGAATCTGCACAAGCCTGAATATGACCATGGCATTGAAAGGACTTAGTCCTGGCTGTGGTGAGGTACAATAGCTGGCAAATGTTTCCCCTGGGGGAACGCCAGACAAGGATGTGAGAGAGCTCCCTGTATTATTTCTAACAATTCCATGTGAATTGAGACTTACTTCAATAAAAATTTGAATTACAAAAATCCACAGGGTACTTTCACAATAACACTTTAGATGTTTTTTGCCAAGCATGGTCTGGTCACGATTTCTTAATCTTCTGGGGCTCACTGTCCATGCAAGGAGATATGACCTTGACCTCGGAGAGAGGTCACACATTTCTGCAGTGGAGAATCACATTGCTACAGACATGACAACCAGTTTTCTTTCTTTTTTTTTAATATTTATTTTTTAGTTTTCAGTGGACACACAATATCTTTGTTTGTATGTGGTGCTGAGGATCGAACCCGGGCCGCATGCATGCCAGGCGAGCGTGCTACCGCTTGAGTCACATCCCCAGCCCGACAACCAGTTTTCTACTAACTTTAAGACAAGTCTGTTATTCCAGCTAAAACTATTACATCTTTATATTTAAGGATTGCAGAAATACGGTAATTTTATTTTACTTTAAAAGTCAATTAGGGCTGGGGATGTGGCTCAAGAGGTAGTGTGCTCGCCTGGCATGCGTGTGGCCTAGGTTCGATCCTCAGCACCACATCCAAAAAAGATGTTGTGTCCTCCAAATACTAAAAAATAAATATTAAAATTCTCTCTCTCTCACTCTCTCTTAAAAAAAACATTAAAAAAAAAGTCAATTAGGGGGGTTGTAGTGCAGTGGCAGAGTGCTTGCCTAGCATGTGTAAGGCACTGGGTTCGATCCTTAGCACCACATAAAAATAAACAAAATAAAGGCATGCTGTCCATCTACAACTACAAAAAATATATATATCAAAAAATGTCAATTAGGGGGGTGGGGTTGTGGCTCAGCAGTAGAGTGCTCGCCTAGCACGTGCAAGGCCCTGGGTTGGATCCTCAGCACACATAAAAATAAATAAAATAAAGKTATTGTGTCCATCTACAGCTAAAGAAAAAAAATTTAAAAACAGTCAGTTAGGGACTGTGGTTGTGGCTCAGTGGTAGAGTGCTTGCCTAGCATGTGTGAGGCACTGGGACTGGTTCGATTCTCAGCACTACATATAAATAAATAAAATAAAGGCCCATTGACAATATATATATATATTGTAGTTGTAGATGGATATAATACCTTTATTTTATTTATTTATCTTTATGTGGTGCTGAGGATCGAAACCTAGGGTCTCACATGTGCTAGGCAAGTGCTGAGGTATAACCCAAGRCAAAGACAACTAACATATTTTTAAAAAAATCAATTATAGCTGGGTGTTGTAGCAACATACTTGCAATCCCAGAGACTCAGGAGGCTGAGGCAGGAGGATTACTAATTCAAGACCAGCCAAAACAACTTAGTGAGACCCTGTCTCAAAATAAAAATTAAAAGGGTTAGAAATGTGGTTTAGTGGTAAAGCACTCCTGGGTAAAATCCCCAGTACCCCCCCACCCCAAAAAGTCAATTATAATCTTTGAATCTAAATAGTCTGCCATGAAAACTTTTTTAAAAAATATTTTTTTGGTACCAGGGATTAAACTCAGGGGCACTCAACCACTGAGCTGCATTCCCAGCCCTATTTTGTATTTTACTTAGAAACATGGTCTCACTGAGTAGTTTAGTGCCTCACAGTTGCTGAAGCTGGCTTTGAACTCGAGATTCTCCTGCCTCAGCCTCCCCAGCCCCTGGGATTAGAGGTGAGTGCCACTGCACCCAGCTGCCATGAAAACTTTTAATTTTGGTTTATTTATTTATACATTTCCCTCAAATAAGTAACACTATTATGTCAAAGAAATGCTTTAACTTTTGTAATCTAAAATGTTTTAACAATTATTTCTTATAAAAATGAATTTGCTAAAAATAACTTGTTACCTTACCATCTATTTCGAACTACTTTCATGGTTTCATGGTCGATGTTCAGTGTAGAAATGTAAGCATAAAGAATGCCATAGAAAGGATCCAGTTTTCTTTCATTCCTCAAAGCTTTAGCCTTTAGCTGTTCAACTGTATAGACATCAACTATTGTATTCACTAAAAATAAGAAGGATTTCAGTTGCAAGTACTCGGTAAGAACCAGAAGGATCACACCCAAGGAAAAAGTCCAGGGTCCAACTGAGAGCGCACAGCTAGCTTTGATTAACAAGATCATGATGTTTACTAAATTAAACCAATTATGTAATATGATAAAAAGCAAACAATAGGCAAAAAGGAAAACAATGAAAAATTGTCATTTAATGAAGAATTCGTGGTCATCAAGAGATACCATTACAAAGCCACAGACTGGGGGATGCCAGCAGTCCACCCAGATAGCAGAGGCTCACCAGAAAATCTAAAGTTTTTTTTTCTTTTGTTTTTCAGTGCTGAGGATTGAACCCAGGGCCTACTGAACACAGTATCTTATGCCAAATTATATTTGTTGGCATAGCACTTTTCTGGGGAGAGAGTCATTACTTTTCATCATTGCCTAGTGGTAATAAAAGCCTCCAAAGTTTTAATCTAGCTTTTTAAAAGTGGAAATATAGTAGTTACAGACTAAGAATATGGTGCCTTTCAGTAAGTCAAATCAAAAGTTTACAGCCCAATTCTAGCCTGTTTAAAAATAAAAAAAAATAATTAAAGAGTCACTTACAATTTATGGATTCTTTCAAATAAGTGTCAATCTCATCAGCCACAACTTTTGTTTCTTTATTTTCTCTTACAAAATTCATTAGGATGTTAGCTTCTGGTGTGTCTTCAATTGAAAACGCATAATAAGGAAAAAGCAAACTGATTATCTTTTAAACCACCATGAAGGATCCAAAGTTACTTTTAACAGTAAAAAACAAGACATATAAGAATGAAATTGAATAGAATATCACTCAACCACTAACAATGTGTCGCAGAGCTCTGCCAACATGGGCAGTGTGCACTAGAAGTTGCTAGTAAAAAGAGCATTTACAAAACTACGTGGTACAGGAATACACTTTTTTAAAATATTTTTTTAGTTGTAGATAGATATGATACCTTAATTTATTTTTATGAGGTGCTAAGGATTGAACCTAGTGCTTCACACATACGAGGGGGGGTACTCTACCACTGAGCCACAGCCCCATCCCAAGGAAATACACTTTTAATTGAAAAAGTATAAAGAGCTTTGTAATGTTGTGAACAACCAATAAAAAAAAATTAAAATAAAAAAGAAAAAGTATATATTCAAAATTATCTGTAAAAATATACATGAAGGAAATTATGGTGGGTTATAGATTATCTTTATGTTCCTTTTTAATTATTTTATGCATTTTTCTGAATTTCATATATATTTCTTTCCTAATAAGAAATGCTTTTTTTAAAAAAAGATTATTTTAGCCAGGTGTGGTGGCACACACCTGTAATCCCAGTGATTTGGGAGGCTGAGGCAGGAGGATCACAAGTTCAAGGCCAGATGAGAAATTTAGGGAGACCCCCTATCTTAAAATAAAAAGGAGTGGAGATGTAAAGCACCCCCAGGTTACAATCCTCAGTACTGAAAAAAGAAGTTATTTTAATGTCTTGCTTTTCAAACCGGAATAGTGGAATGAGTTTTTTCAAGAATAGTTGGTAGGTGCTCCAGAATGCTAGAAGGTGATTCTGAAAAAGGGATTCTAATGCCCTTCAGTCCCAAGAACCCAGCCTCTGACATGTGACTAAGTGCTCCATCCCACCTAAGCATTCTACAGATTGCCCTGACTCCCTTGGGCAGATTTAAAAGCTCTGCTCCTGCTCCCATCATGCACGTCTCATCACTACTCTTCATCAGAACTAGACTATAAATTCCTCCTAAGCAGATCGTGCCTTTCCATTTCTGGGTTATGATAATTCATTCATTCCTACTTTCCACAAAGAATTTAAGTTAATGCCTGGCAAATAAAAGGCATTCAATGAATATTTGTAAATTAATGGGTGGACAAACGAATGTTTTTGAGGCACTAACAGAACTGCGGCACCACTCATGGGAGCAGCTGCTGAGCAGGCTACAGCAACCAGACCAACTAGCTTCTTGAGATAGGAGCTGGTAGGAGGGGTGGGGTGCAGACACCACACACAGGCTTCTACTGACAACAGGATGATCCCAACTGACTGTGGGGAAGGCAGAATTCTGCTCTGATGATCGCTCTTGGTGCAGAGAAAGCATAAGGAGAGCTTAACATCCTGATGAGGATGAACATATAAGCCATTTAGAGGTTCTTCATTTCTAAAGGTAGGCATAGCCCACTAAATTAGAAATCAGGCCGAATTAAACAAGCACACACATTTACACACTCTTATGAGTACCCCCCTTTAAACTGGTCTCCTTGGCATATTAAATTTAAGCTATCTACTGTACATGTTTTGTTTTTTGAGACAAGGTCTCACTGTTACTGAGACTGACCTTGAACTTGGGATTCTTCTGCCTTGGCTCCTAAGTCACTAGGATTATAGGAATGTGCCACTATGCCTGGCTGATTTTATTGAATTTTTAATTAGTTAAGTTTGATGATTTTTCCACCAAACAAATCCAATTTTTAGATCTTTTCTCAGATCAAACTTACTCTCAGAGGGTGCAGATGTCCTTCCTTTCCTCCTTCCTTTATTTTTGTCTTTTGTGTGTGTGTGTGTGTGTGTGTGTGTGTGTGTGCACGCTTGCTGGGCGTGTAACCCAGGGGCTCAGGCATGGGAAACTACTCTAGGAAACTTCTAGAGTAGGAAACTACTCTATCCCCAATCCAGGGTAGTAACTTTCTATCAATAATATTACTAAATATAACAATAAACTATTCGCATTAATACATTATTTAAAATAAAAAACCATAGTAACACTCTCCAGAAAACCCCAGGAACTGAAGAGTGGCATTATGCTCCTAAGTGTTAAGAAGAGACCTTGGCAGTGGTCACCATCAAGCTTCAACAGAGCAGCAGGAGTGATCCTTCCAGAACTTGGCCAGACAACTCCACTGTTCCACTCCACCCCTGGCCTGCTCCCCAACCCTCCAGAGTGACAGCCAGTGCCCTTGTGGCAGCCCCCGAGGCCTTCATCTGATCCTCCTCCTGTTCCTCTCCCTGAGCGCCCTGGGCTCCAGCCACAGTGGTCTCTTGCCATTCTTCCCACACAGGCACACAGCAACCTCAGAGCCTGTGTGCAGGCTAATCCCTCTGCCTGGGATGTCTTTCCCTTAGGGTTACCCCTTGCCTCCCCACCAGTCCCTGCTCAGACAGTCCCTGCAGCAAGGCCCACCTGGCCACCCTGTAAGATTGCACATGTGGGCTCTCTGGATCCTCCCGACCCTGCTCCTCTTTTTCGCAGACATTTCATAATTTGTGGGTATATTTTCTTTATTATTTATCATCTGTCTCTCCTCAGTTGAAACATGAGCTCTGTGAGAGTGGAGAAATTTGTGGGCTTTGTCCCTGGACCCTAGACAGCACGAGGACAGAACATGTGCTTGGTACATGAGAGCTGGTTGGGTCACACCCATGGCACTGCTTCCAAGGGAACAATGTCAGGCAATAGGCGTGTATGACTCAGTAACCCTACATTAAAAGTTTCATAATCTCATATTCTACATTGTATCTCTTCTAATAACTCTGATAATGGTTTGGCAAAAAACATAGATTTTTCTTATCACTCTGAGTCACTGGTAATGCTGAGGGCTTATTTTTAGAAAGACACTTTTGAGTATCTATGTCCTATTTTTTTAACATTTATTTTTTAGTTGTAGGTGGAAACTATACTTTTATTTTATCTTTATGTGGTGCTGAGGATCGAACCCAGTGCCTCACACATGCTAGGTGAGCACTCTATCTGAGCCACAACCCCAGCCCCCCCATGTCTTCTTGAGCTTGGATTATTCCATGTCTGGTAATTCTGCATTCCTTGGCAGTGCTAAGATGATCCTCCATCTACATTGTGAACACCCTGAGCACACTCAGGCAGCAGCCCTGGGCCCTCCCCAAGTCCAGCTCCCTGACTCATGCTGAACTGTGACTTCTTCAGCACCCACTCCAGGGGGCCTCTGGGTGCTGAAGTCATGAACCAATGATACCCTATGTGTATTCATACTTTTTCAGTGTCTTAGCAGTAAAAGTCATCTCAATGTGGTAAAACCTGACTTACTTTTTATTTATTTACTTAATTTATTTTTATGGCACTCAAAGTTGAACCCAGGGGTGCTCTGCCACAGCTCTATCCTCAGGCTTTATATTTTTTATTTTGAGACAGGGTCTAAGTTGCTGAGGCTGGCCTTGAACCTGCAATCCTCCTCCCTCAGCCTCTCAAATTGTTGGGATTACAGGTGTGTGCCACCATACCTGGATGAATTTACTTTTTAAATAGTCAATAATTTAGGCTATTCAATAATACTGACCTCTCAAAAATCATCACAATGAATGTTGCTTTAAAAATTAGCCTGATTTTTCACATTTCTTTAGTAAAAATATAAAATATACACTGATTTTAAATTTTTAAAAAGTCATGCAAAGCAACTTTTCCCTTCAATTAAAATTAAATTCAAGTTGTGATTTCATTCTTAAATATACTTCACAAATGCTGGAATATGTATATGGTCATTTCCAAAAGGATGAAAAACTTTCAGAAGCCCTTTACCTGGATTAGTCGTAATAATGGTTTTTGAGATCACAGTTGCTGTCATGCAGTTCCGAAATTTGTCAAAGTTTATTCTTACATCTGAGGCAAATATTACTGTTTTTGGGGAAAAGCCATTTTAAAATTATTACATGGGGGGATAAAAATGGTAAGTATTGAACACAATCACAGAATTCCGGTACCTGTTTCCTGTGGCATCCACCTCTGTGCAAGTAGAATAGATTCATTATCCCAACTGCATTTGTTAAAAAAAAAAAAAGTGAAACAAATCGAATACATTAGAAAAATCTGGTACTGACACATTATTTAAAAAGAAAGAAAGAAAATGAAAAAGGAAGAAAGGAAAAGAAAAAAGAAGGATTAAAACAAGCCTCAATGATTGCGGTCAACAGTCTCCTGGGTGTTCAAAGATGGAAGTTAAGGACATTTGCTTCTACTTGGGGACTCACAGAGCACCTGGCCTCTATGTGATGAATCACTCTTTCAACATACACTCTCCTCTAACGAGCTCTTCTGCTCTACCAAAACTCTATTTTCCCATTCTTGGTGCCTTCTGGCTAGTTAGAATGCAGTGACTGAAAGTCTAAAGACTTTTCCAGACCATTAAAGTAGGGCTTCCCAACATAAATCTCTCAGGGGACTTGATGGTGGAAGACACTTTTCAATGGTTTCCTTTGGTGCCTGAGCACTGAGCATCTGAACAAGTCCTTGTACACTGTGGCGCTCTAGGGCACAACCCCACTCTGTGCTCCATTCCACTCAGGGTACCACCAATGAGTTGCAAATTTGGGCTTGTTTCATTTAAAAGTAACCTAATAAAACACCATTATTATAAAACAGAATATAATAATAAAATAATCACAGTGGAGTCCATCTAAGCAATTCTATGCTATGTAAAGATCTTGTTTTAAGATGGCCTACAATAGGTCGACATTCAAGAGATAGGTTTATTTTTTTCACATCATTTATCTCTATCATTATTCTTTTGTTGATATGAAATTCATTTGTGTGTGGATGTGTGTGGATGGTGCTTGGGTTGAACCCAGGAGTACTCTATCACTGAGCTATATCCCATGCCTTTTTGTTATTTTGAGATAGACAGAGTCTAAGTCGCTGGGGCTAACCTCCAACTTGAGATCCTCCTGCCTCTCTCTCCCTAGTACTGGGATTACAGGTATGTACTACTGAAGGAGGCTGAATCATTGTCCTTGGATAAGAGGAAAGCATTCTGTCTCAGTGACAGCAGCAGAATGTCATGTTTGGAGTGCATGTGGAGGGTTACCATGTCAATGTGAAAGACGGTTCTGTCTCATCATAGAGTTTGATTTCACACCTCTGGCCTTTTCTTCGGTCTGAAGTTGTAAAATATTTTGGTTCTCCAACCTTAGAAATTGAAGGAAATCATTATTATTCACCTACAGATGTAGAGGTATTTAAATATTTGTTGGTATAAATGCTCAAACGTTTACTTAAACTTTAAATTAGAAATATTAAAATACCAAGAACCACTAATATATTTTTGGTGATTTTTAAGGCACCTTCTATTTGAACTAAGTGTACTTAGCTGAAGCTCTACATTATGCACACTTTGAAGAGAGATATAGACATATGTGCTTAAAGTTAAGAGTGAGTCTTTTCAACCTGCCAGGACAATTGCTGTATGGCAGTCCCCCTGGTGGAAGCTATCTAGCCGTCTTGAGGGTAGGAAGTGGATTTTCAACGTCTGTGTGTCCCAAGGTTTCAGCACATGGAGTTCGCGTGACAGAATGCACTGTCCTTCTGGGCCTCAGTGTCCTGAATATTGATACCTCTTGCCTTCTTCAAAGGCATAAGGTGCTGAGTCAAATGAGGGGCATATAGGAAAACACTTTCAGATGGTGTCTGATTTGAAGAAGCAGAGGCCCACTCAAGGGCCTTTGTCTCCAACCAATGGGTGCTCCTATGAGAACAGCAAGCACCTCTGGTGGCCTCACAGCCAAGGTCCCGAGCAGTCAGTTGGCGACCCTCTGTGCTACTGTCACCTCTGCACCTACACGCAGGATTGATCCCTGGGGGAAGGAACTGAAGAAAGATGTAAACATGCCAAGAACCAGGCTCTGGCAGAGAAAGTCAAAGAAGGAGGGCTGTCAGCCATGCCGTGGGCAACAGGGGTGGTGGGAGGTGTCCAGGGAGGAGTTTTAAGTGAGGTGAGAGGGAACAGTGAACAGGGCAAACACTGGTGAGGAAATGTAAGGGGCTGGAGTTAACAGGTGACAAGGGGCATGAAAATAAGTCATGTGACATGTGGAAGAGGGTCCCAGGCTTGTGGGGGGCTGTGGGGTTTTGTTTGTGTACATATTGAGGCAAACCACTGAGTTAAACTCCCAACTCTTTGTTGTAGTTTGAGACAAACTCTTGCTCAGATGCTGGGGCTGGCTCCACACATGTGATCCTACTATCTTAACCTCCTGAAAAGTTGGGATTAGAGATGTGGCCACTGTGCAGGGCTCTGAGACAGTTCCTACCACATTATAAATGTAATGCATCATGCAGCACCAGGAGGAAATCAAGCAGCATGCACACTTGATTGACAGATTGAACTGAAATTGCCTAGAAAGTGGTACATCCTATATTTTAAGACTGATATGTAGGGTGTTGATTCCTCTATCCAAAACAATATTTGATGTTCCTCCTGTGGCAGATGCTGAGGTAGGCTGGGGCTGGGCAAACTGACATTGCCTATGCAGCCAGAGCCTGCCATCTGGCAAAGTCAGTGCTCTCTCAGCTCATAATACCAAAGAACAGTTAGGAGTTACTTCCAATACCAACTACAAGAAGTGTGAAGCTCTAGACATGGGCCTTTTGATAACCATCCTTCTCTATGTTTGAAAAATTACTCTTGTCCCTTGAATGTTCTGCGTGCACTTTACTTTATGAAACTTTACTTTTGAGGTCCACCTCTAAATCTGTCACAGTGGCTTAGCCATCAACACAGAGCTCAGAACTTGCTGCAGTCACTGAGAGGAATGGAGTGATACAGGCAGCATCCTTGTGCCTGTGGAGAGCCGTTTCTCACCAGCATGGAGCCACCTGGGCATCCTCGCTCTCCCTGTCTCTGGATAGCTCTGAGAACCTTGCATAGAGCTGATTCCTCTACTTCTCCAACTTCCCCTAGGGGAACATCATGGTTCTTCATGTCAGTAAGTTTATCCTTCCTGTTTGCATATTTGTTTAACAGAAGCATCAAGCTCTTAAATAGTTAGTGAACSACTTTTAGGTAGAATAGCGTATGCTGCATTTAGCATTCAAATACGATGTTCTCTAGCTACTCATTCAGACAAAATGCCACTTTCCTTTTAATGAGAAGAGTTACCATTTTCTTAACTCATCAATTTATTACTAAGATATGGAGGAAAATTACCCTAGCTGATTCTGACGACCACATTCTAAACACAGATTAGATGACAAAGACTTGCACATGACTTTGTTCGGGTTAACTTACCGATCTCACAGCTGCAAGCACATTGATAATCTTCCCATCAAGACTGTGTCCATTTGCAACAATGTCACCCAATGAATAATAATCTCGAGACTCTTTAACAGGTAAATGTATCAAAGAAAGCAACTTGGCATCCACCTCATAACTGGAACAAACTTTTACCATTGAGTGATTCTCACTGAGCAACAGTTTATAGTTGCTAAATTGTAAAAACACACAAAAATTAATATCAAATTATTTCTAATATAAAAATACTTCCAGGTTCATAGTTCAATCACTTTACAGTTGTAACTTAGACTATATTTTAAAATCTACATTTTTTTACTCTTAGAAACACTGAACAATGTTGCAAAATATTTTTGTCTAAAATGTACTTTTTTCATCTTAATCTTCAAATTATTTCTTCAGAGAAATGACATATACTTCTAATAAGGAAAACATTTGGGGATCAATATGTGCTGAGTTCTAAGCATACAAACTGACCGTGCCAGGGTCTGAGCTTCAGTCTTCTGATCAATAACATAGGGATGTGAAGACATGAGTTTGGGGGGTTATAAGTCCTGAGCACTTTTTATTTCTCTCTCCTACAACTATAGCTGCTCTGCTTAGGTGCCTTAGACCAAGGACCACATTTTACTATACTCTTCTATATGGAATAGGTGAAGAATATCTTTTCAGTGCTCCTGAATTGAGGTGCTTTATCTTCCCCTACTTCCAACTCTCAAGTCCTTCACAGAATTTTTTTTTTCTTTTTGAGACAGGCTTTTGCTATGTTGCCCAGGTGGTCTCAATCAACTCAAGAGATCCTCCAGAATATCTGGGACTGCAAATTTGCACCACCGTGCCCACTTCCCCAGCTCTCCAGTCCAACCCTCCTCCTCTTTCTGCTGCTATTACCTTATTTATGCACCTCATCATTTCTCTCCCAAACTGTTGTCTTCAGTCCTAAATAAGCTTTCCTCACCATGCATCACACACACACAAAGTGGTTTTCCTGAACCACAAATGTGAAACATTATCTCAGCTCAAGGACCTTCTGTGGAATGAACCTGGATGACAGGCCATGCCATCTGTGAGCGTCTCTGCTTCTCCCTCAGGCTTCTTTTCCTCCTGGTCCCTTGCACTTGCTCATATTAGAGCCATGCCAACTATTAGGTTATGAGGTTGACATTCTTAGATGGAAAACAGTTCAATGTGGCAGTTTCATATGATTCAACCTCTAATATATCTAAAAAGGTCAAGAGGTTCTTGATGGTTCCCTCGGCTTGAATGTTCTTCCCTTTCTTCCTCCCTCCATTCATTCATTCCACAAAAGTTTACTGACAATCTATTACATGCCAGACCTTAAATGAAGCCTGGGGGACACATGTGAAGAAGACAGACAAGACCTTTGATCTCCTGAAGCTCACACGTGAGGGAGAATCACAAGAACAACTAGTCATATCATCGCAGCATGACCAGGGTTATGACTGATAGGCGGGGCCAAGCCTGCCCAGCGGGGCTACTACACACCGAGCAGATAGGTGGGGCAGAGGAGGTGACATTATGGAGACATCCACAACAAGAAGCAGCAAACACTCAAACAGACAGGAGAAGAATGTTCCAAGCAGAGGGAATAGAAGGTACAACAGTTAGTGCAGGATGAGTTCAGGGTGTTCGTGAAACAGAAAGAAGTTCACTGTAGCTGCAGAGATGAGCCTGAAGGTCTGATAGAAAACTGGTCAGAACAACAGTTGGGAGGAGTGGCCATGGATACAGGTGTCCATGCAGTAGACTGCTGTATACACCAAGAGCCCCTTACAGGCCAGCAAGGGGTCAGCTGCACCTTCCTCTCCAGAACTGCCCTTGGCAGAACCACCTTGGAGATTACACTCTACTCCTTCAGGAGTCATGGGGGCTCACTATAGCGAGGGACTGGCTCAGGGCACAGAAGCCCAGTCCACTAGACATGGCACTGCTGCACTCTAGAGTACCCTCCTGGCTTCAGCGGGGGCTCCTGGGGAGCCCAGTTCTCTGGTCAACCTCTCTCCAAATCTGTCCTTGATAGGTTCTCCTGAGAGCTCTCCTCAACAAGCCACTGGCAGGAGAACTGATCTCCCAGGTTCTGCTTCCAGGGACCCTGACCTGAGGTTGTAAGGCATGAATAGAGTGACACCTGGATACAAAATAAGATTTTTTTCTTCTAATTGCTCAGTTTATTTTTTTATTTTTTTATTTTTTTTATTTTTTTTTATTTATTTTTTT